AAGGAAGGAACTAGAAGAGTGTAAGGAAAGAGGAAAGAAGGAAAGGAAGGAACTAGAAGAGTGTAAGGAAAGAGGAAAGAAGGAAAGGAAGGAACTAGAAGAGTGTAAGGAAAGAGGAAAGAAGGAAAGGAAGGAACTAGAAGAGTGTAAGGAAAGAGGAAAGAAGGAAAGGAAGGAACTAGAAGAGTGTAAGGAAAGAGGAAAAAAGGAAAGGAAGGAACTAGAAGAGTGTAAGTATAGAGGAAAGAAGAAAAGGAAGGAACTAGAAGAGTGTAAGTAAAAAGGAAAGAAAGGAAAGGAAGGAAATGAACGAGTGACACGAAAAAGGAAATATAGGAAAGGAAGGAACTGGAAGAGTGTAAGTATAGAGGAAAAAAGAAAAGGAAGGAACCAGAAGAGTGTAAGTAAAAAGGAAAGAAGAAAAGGAAGGAAATGAACGAGTGACATGAAAAAGGAAATATAGGAAACGAAGGAACTAAAAGAGTAATACGAAATTGGAAAAACATGAAAGGAAGGAACTAGTAGAACATGAGACACGGCAATTGCGCAGTGTAAACAGACCCATTTCACTTTTTAAGTGATTTAATAACTTACAAGTTAAGATATTTGCTTCGTAATAACATCAAATGCACTTAAGTATATTGCTTTAATGTCGTCTTCCTATTCGAGAGTTTTCTGATTATCACTGTTTAGGACCAAGTTTCAAGGTGCAACTCTAGTTTCCTAACGTTCTCAGTTCTAAATGTATATACAATACAGGGTTACCCAATACCCACAATGGATGAGACTTTCCGAGACGGAAGTCGTTCAGTTTGTTTCCTTGCATTCAGGGAATTCAGGGTTCTTTGTAGGCTAAACCTAGATTATTCCTGTGCTTAATCATTTAGAAAACCATTAAAATACTCAATTGAGAGTAGAACCCAAAAAGCAAGCAACAAAGCGTCATATTCTTAGGGTTTTTGGTCGTCGTTACAGTCTCATCCCTTGTGGGTAACCTTGTATATGTAGTACACACTTCAGAGGAATGCATTGGACTTTCTATTAACAAGGGGGCCAAGAGAAAGGGGGTGGGGCAAAGGGATAGAGCCCCCTAGACCGGTGAAGGGGGGAGGGAACTCAGCTACATGGTTATCCACAAAGAATAGACTTCAGAGACGATTGGACGGAATTTTTTTATTCCTTTTTCTTACATTCAGGGTTCCTCGTAGGCCAAAACTTACAAATTTCTGTGCTTGACCATTAAGTAAACCATCAAAATACTCCATGAAATGCGGAAACCAAAACTCAAGCTTTAAATCGTCATATTTTTTAAGTTTTGGGTCGTCCACAGAGTCTCATCCTTTGTGGGTAACCCTGTAGCACACTTTTCAAATCTGAAACTGAAAATTGAAGAACAGAGAAAAAATAGAATGCTAGTTTTGTTTGAAGGTGAGATAAAGTATTACTTGCAAGGGTAATTGGTCTATATGTATACCTTTGATGTATCTTTTATTTATGCCTGATGTCAAGAAGCCAATTGTTCTGAATTTACAGTCAATCTTTCCCCCCCCCCCCAACTTTTCATAAACAAATAGTTCAGTTTAAAATTTTTATCTTATTTTTTTAACCTTTTTTTCAAAATAAAATTGTTTAAAATAATATAATGATTCGGTATTTTGGAAAAAGTTTTTTATTCAGGCAGAAAGAAGATATTAATAAAAATAGGTCGTCTTTGTTTGTCTTGTTAAACAAATTAAATCATATGAAAATGCCAAAATCTAAAAAGTGGCGATTTGTGGAGGATGAGATATAGTCTAAACCATTTCAGTGAATTTGTCCGTTAAAGGGACTGTAGAGGAAAATTGAAAGGGGGTATATACTGAAACCTGCGCATCTTAGGCGTTGATCAATACATATAAGACATCTATCTGATGTTCCTGTCTCGAGAAATTGACATAAAACTTTGTCATAACTATACCAAAACGTAGATATGTAAAATATACGTCCGTATCACGTGGCCAGAGCTAAGGGTAGTGCAGTATACTGGTCACGTGATACAGACGGAGACACATGACAATAATACTTTACTACAATTGGTTAAAGTTCTGGTCACGTGATCAGGACGTACAAATAATATTATCAAAAAAGCAAACCTGAGATTTTTAGGCTCCTCTGGGATATCGTTGTTTTCAGATTGGTTGCTTATTTGTTGAATATGATCTGTTTAATACTACAAATGTTATACAAAATCTTTCATATATACGTTTTGGTATAACTTTAACACAGTTTTATATCAATTTCTCGAGACAGGAACACCAATTAGAACTCTGATAGGTCTCAATCAACTCTTGAGATTCTCAGGATTCAGCCTATACCCCCTTTCATTTTTCCTTTCCAGTCCCTTTAAGATATAACATTTTTTGGAACATGAAACCCAAAACCTTAACTTTATAGAATAGAAATGTTAAGTGATTCAAAAATAATGGTTTTGTTTAAAAATGTTTTATTTAATTTGTAATTTGTCAACGTGGATAGATCAATGTTCACTTATTCCAAACTGTGGGTATTTAACAGGATATTTAAAAAAATATTATTGCTATTTTTCTTTCTTTAGTAAAATAAGGCACATAAAATGCATTATTATGTTAAATCCTTTGGCTTATTACTTTAAAATATCTGATTTTTATTAATTTTACTTGCCTCACTTTTAAGGAGTAATTCAAAAAAAAAAATTTTACCTTTTCATTTTTCTCTACGTTTTTCAGATGAAAAGCTTTTAACATTATATTTTTTCATTCCGACGTTTATTTTTTATTATTCATACTCATTTTGATACTCATTTTCATTTCATTCTTATCCATTTATTGATAGCTTCTGCGGGGTTCGAACAGGGTTCTGCAAACTACCTGTGTTCGAACAGGCAATTGCGGGGTTCATGGCCGCATGGCCCCCCCTCCCTCGCTGAAGAAGAGATATGTATCAAAATCAAAAGGAGAAAAACTTCACTACCAGACAAGTACTTTTTCTCCTCTATATCTCATAACGTTACAGCGGAGAAGAACACACATCAACAACCTGAAGCCAATTTATATCCAGCAGACTACAGCAAAAGCATAGATGATATCCTGAGCGCTTTTCGCACAAACAGTGAGAACGGTAGTCAAGTGTATGGAACTCTGGACGAATAAATGTTTGAGTGAGAACAGAATGAAGAATATTAATTTGAGAACGTAATGACAATCGATTAATTAAATTTATAAATAATACTTCACTATATGTACTTTGTCTATTCTCACTTGCGAATTAATTTAAACAGTCCTCCTTTGAATATTCATTAAAAGTTCAATTTTATGCAGTAAATTCTTTATTTCAGAGTAAAAGATGGAGGAGGGTGAACGACCCCTAACCCGTTTTATCTACAAGGGCCTATATATGAACATAGACGGATTAACTGAGTCAAAATTTGGAGAGCTGGAGTCTATTCTTTACAGGGATGAATGACCAGAATTACTTGTTTGAGCACAATCCCCCCCCCCCCACCCTTAACTTCAATTGGATACGATCGAGGCAGGGCGAATTAGACCTTAAAACACAGCCAATCTATCGACCATGGCTGAGAGCTTCAGATGGTGGTAGAAGATAGTTAATAGTGCGTAAAAGATAGTTGAAGATAGTTAATAGAGCGAAGCAGATAGTTAGTATTGTGTTGAAGACAGTTAATAGAGCGAAGAAGACAGTTAACAGTGTGTTGAAGATAGTTAATGGTGGGTAGAAGAAAGTTAAAAGTGCGTAGAAGATAGTTAAAGGTGCGTAGAAGATAGTTAGTAGTGCGTGGAAGATGGTTAATAATGTGTAAAATACATTCAATAGAGAATAAAAGATAATTAATAGTATGTAGAAGATAGTTAATAATGTGTAAAAAACATTCAATAGAGAATAAAAGATAATTAATAGTATGTAGAAGATAGTTAATAGCGTGTAGAACGTAGTTAAAGAGTGTAGAAGATAGTTAATAGTGTGTGGAAAATAGTTAGTAGTGTGTGGAAGATAATTAATAGTTGATAGAATATAGTTAATGGCGTGTTGAAGATAGTTAATAGTGTGTAGAAAATGGTTAATAGTAATAGAAGATACTTAATAGTGTGCAGAAGATAGTTAAAAGTGTATAGAAGATAGTTAAAAGTGCGTAGAAGGTAGTTAGTAGTGTGTGGAACGTGGTTAATAATGTGTAAAAAACATTCAATAGAGAATAGAAGATAATTAATAGTATGTAGAAGATAGTTAATAGCGTGTAGAACGTAGTTATAGAGTGTAGTGTAGTGTGTAGAAAATGGTTAATAGTAATAGAAGATACTTAATAGTGTGCAGAAGATAGTTAAAAGTGTATAGAAGATAGTTAAAAGTGCGTAGAAGGTAGTTAGTAGTGTGTGGAACGTGGTTAATAATGTGTAAAAAACATTCAATAGAGAATAGAAGATAATTAATAGTATGTAGAAGATAGTTAATAGCGTGTAGAACGTAGTTATAGAGTGTAGTGTAGTGTGTAGAAAATGGTTAATAGTAATAGTAGAAGATAGTTAATAGCGTGTAGAACATAGTTATAGAGTGTAGAAGATAGTTTATCGTGTGTGGAAGATAGTTAGTAGTATGTTGAAGATAGTTAATAGTTGATAGAAGATAGTTTTATTTTATTTACAAATTAAACACAAATTACAAATAATAATGTGCTAAAGATAGTTAATAAAGTTTTCATTTTATTTACATCAGATTCGGCTTCCAGCTTTGCCAATTAAACACAAAATACAATATCATCTCAATAGTACTTAGCATTTGAGTCAGATTTTACCCCCCCCCAACCCCAAATTATTCATATAACCTAATAAGATCATGAGTACCAAATATTCATATAACCTAATATGATCATGAGTACAAAATATTCATATAACATAATATGATCATGAGTACAAAATATTCATATAACCTAATAAGATCATGAGTACAAAATTTATGAATTCAAACTTGCAAATGGGGTGTCCTTTGTTCCATGGTCATTCATAAATAACGATAGGGATAGAAGGATAATATTCCTCTTTGCATCTGAGGTAAAACAACAAAGGAATATGGTCAACCTGGGAACTGATATAGAAGACTTTTCAACACATGAGTACTTAAGAGACAGTAGTGCAACGGGAGGGATAATATTATGGACTCGACAGAACACAGGGAAAGCTGTCAGACCATGGTATCCAAACCAGGAAGCGCCAGCATGGATGTCAAGTGAGAGAGTATGGGTGATGATGGAGGACAGCATAACGAGGATAGCCTGCTGTGGAGTGTATTTACGTACGGAGTCACCAAAATCCTCAACTTTCTTCAAGAACAATGAGGAACTTTTAACCCAACTAGTAAGGGAGAAGATAGAGCTAGAACATAATGGATACCACGTATGCTTTTTAGGAGATTTCAACGCTAGAATATCACCAGATATACGGTTTGACTTCCAACAATACCCACATGCACCAAATAATAATGGAACCCTAGTCAATAGCTTCGCGAACACCATCAACTTACACTGCATGAACCCCATGAGCTGGAATGGGGTGGTTGAAGAACAATTCACGTATCAGCGGGATCTAGGCATTCGTTATGATCGGTCAATCATTGATTATGGGATCGCCACACCAACAACAATTTCCTTAACGACTAGGTTTTCAGTACAGGTCAGTTACGCTCATATAACTTCCAATCCAATCTTATTCCTAATCTTTAACTCACATTTTTCTCCTTAATACTATCTTGGATGTTGTCATTTTTTACTCACATTTTGACTTCTTAAACTCAAAATTAATATTTACAATTACGACGTTTATTTTTAGTTTTCATGCTCATTCTGATACTCAAACACTTTCCATACACTTAACATTATATTTTTTATTCTGACGTTTATTTTTTATTGTTTTCATTTCATTCTTAATAATTTACTCATAACCATTTTCATTCCCTTTCACATTTTTCATTCCATTCTTATCCATTTACTCATAACCATTTTTATTCCCTTTCACATTTTTCATTCCATTCTTATCCATTTACTCATAACCATTCTCATTCCCTTTTCCATTTTTAACATTATATTTTTTCATTCCGACGTTTATTTTTTATTATTCATACTCATTTTGATACTCATTTTCATTTCATTCTTATCCATTTATTGATAATCATTTTCATTCCCTTTAACATTTTTACTCGCTCTGGTTTTAATACCCGCTCAGTACAATTTAGCGCCATGTATTAATTTCCATTCCCAATTTAATTTACATTAAATTTGCACTTCCAATCCCATTTTACTTTAATAATTTCCATTTCCAATTTAATTTACATTAAATTCTCACTTCCAATCCCATTTTTCATACCATTCTCAACCCAATCTAGCTCCTCATTTCAATACAAAATTTTCTCACACTTTTTTAACGATTAGGGTTCCAGCACAGGTCAGTGACGTTCATATAGTTTTACCTCTTAATTATTATCATTCTCAATCCAAACTTTTTTCCATTTTCATTTTTATTAATCTAGGATTCGGCTGAATACAGTGTTGAGTCAGACCACAGTTCGTTATTATGGGAATTTAAAATGTGCAGCCAAACTACATCTGAAACACAGCCAAAAACAAAGAATCCGCTACGACACATCAGGAAATGGGAATCTTTCACGAAAATACTTGATTCAAGAATGATGTCATCAAAGCTAAATTTTGATGAGCTAACAGGAGTTGAACAGTCTAATTACTTAACAGAGGAGCTATGTAAAGCTGGCAGATCGGTCATACCATCAACATCAACATCTCGTGTGAAAAAACAGAAACAATCAAAAAAGATGAGCCAACTGTTACAAGCAAGTAAAAAAACCAAGAAATTATTGAATGAACACAGGGATAAAACAGATCAAGAATTTAGTAAACTAAAAGAAAGAGCTAAAAGAGAGACAGCGAACATAAGAACACAGTTTTACAAGGAAGCCTTTAACACAAAAAGGAAGACGCGGGAACTGCTGAATACAAAGGGAACGAAGGCGCAGAAACTATTCTGGCAACTGATAAACCCAAAACCAAAAAAGTCATCAGCTATAGAAGCTCTTGAATCTGATGTAGGGCTTACAACAACCCCAACAGCAATGAATGTTATAGTGGAAAAATTTCTTGAAACGAAATTTCTAACATCATATGATAAAGAGGAGATAACCTGGAAAGAACCCGATTTAACAAAACTGGGAGAACCGCAAGTCAAAATGAATGAAGAGACAGCAGAAAATATAATGAACCCCATAACAATGGATGAATTGCGTATAAACATTGATGATCTTGATGCAAGCAAAGCAGAGGGAATGGATAATGTAACGAATGCAATGCTTAAAAATACAGGACCAGCAGCTAGAGAGAAACTTTTAGATATGTACAACAACATAATGATTTCAGGACAAACACCAGATTCGTGGAAAGAAGGAGACATAGCACTAATACTCAAGAAGCCACCTAACACAAACATAAATAACTACAGACCAATCACCTTAATCAGCTGTGTGTCAAAGTTGTGGACAAAGATAATGGCAAAAAGGGTGAGTGAGTCGATCGAAGTCGAAGATATAATCGGGCCAGAGCAGAATGGCTTCAGACCAAACAGATCCTGTAGCGATAACACCTTCATCCTTAATACCTTACTGGAGCTAAATAAAAGCAGGAAAAAACTCTCCTACCTGCTGTTTGTAGACCTAAAGGAAGCTTACGACAGGGTAGACAGGAATATACTATTTGCGAAACTGAGACAATTAAATTTTCCTGAGCGATTCATCACACTGCTAACGAGTTACTACTTTCAAGATAACATATCAACATCCTCCACAGGAACTAGATCAAAAACACAATACCAGCAGAGAGGTCTCAGGCAAGGCTGCAATCTAAGTAGCGTACTCTTCATAATATATGTGTCAGAACTTGCAAGGCGGATAAGATGTAGTGGACAAGGCGTACGTTTGGATTCTGGTGAAATAATTGGGATTTTGTTATTTGCTGACGACATAATTCTAATCGCGGACAACTCAGCAAGCATAAATGTACTTAGATCCATTATGGAGGGTTGGTGCTCTGACTTCAAAATGACGGTATCTATTGGAAAGACCAATATAATAACTCCAGAACAAAACTTCATCTGCTCTGTATCCAGCGACGGTGTATCTGAATCCGATATTATTGATCAAGTAGAGTCATATAAATACCTCGGAGTCATGCAATACTCCAAAACGAAACGAACAACGAAACATAAAGGGGAAGAGATGCTAAAGCGAGCAAAAATGTACAAGAACGTAATCCTATCAACCGGCAACTTCTTACCAGACAAAGTAAAATCACTATCGACAATCTGGCGATCCATAGCACTCCCAGGACTCCTTTACGCGGCAGATGTAATTCCAGTTTCAGAGGATATAATACATGGGTTAGAAACCATACAGCAACAGGTTGGAAAGTCTATCCTCGGAGTACCGCAATCCTCTGCAAACCCCATAGTAAACCTGGAGCTGGGATGGAAACCAATACAACTCCTTTTGGAGGAATCAGTAATAAGGTTCTACCAACGGGTACATGATCCAGAATTTAAGGGAAGTCATTTAGTGCAATCATGTATGGAATGGAACAAATCTCACGGAGAAACAATGTACATCCAATACATAAACAAGTTAATCAAACATCACAACTTAAACTTGGACACACTAAAGCTACTGAAGCACAGTACACTTCTGGAACACCACAAAAAAGGAATACTACAAAGGGTCCAGCACCTACCAAGCCTAAATATTCTCCCAATACCTAGGAAATGGTGGACAATGCAACCTCACATCGAAGAAGCAAAATGGTCAAGGACTCTAGTAAAATTCAGGTGCATGAACACAGGTTTAGGGAACAGAGACTCATACAGGGCGTTAGACGCCATGTCCCAAGATGACGGAAGAGTGACCTATTGCCCTTTATGTCTACAAGGCAGGAATGATGAAATACACCTCATACTGCATTGCTCAGTCCTATCACAAACAAGAAACTCTATCAAAATGCAATCAGGATTAACACTGGGATCAACTCTAATGGAGCTTAGAGCAAAATTCTCCTGCAGCTCAGACCAAGAGGTGGTGAGACTCTTCTTGGGCCAAGAACCAAGACTGACCAGAATGACAATGATAGACAGAGGCCTTGCACTGGATTTACTACTTACATGCTTCTACAGAGAGTGGTCAAAAACGAGAGGAAGAACAATCCAACGCCCAGATGCTTGGAGGCCACACTAGGAATCGGACACCCATTTGCAAGTGAGTTTAGTTTCTGTTTAATTTCTCTTTAGACCTGGCCATAGAGTATTTATAATCAGGTTTGCAATATGTTAAGTTTTAAGTCAAGCTGGTTTGAGTAAAGTGGGCTTTTATATCCCTAATATTGGTTATAAGGAATGCAAGATAACTAAATATGGAGCTAAGGTTGGTTTAAAAGTTTTTCATCAAAGTATAAATTAATATTGAGGCAACATCTTGTTATACAGTTTTAATTTTTAATGCTTAATTTGGTATTGAGTGCTCAGTTATAGTTAATACAGGTCAAAGTCAAATGAAGCTGTACATATATTATAATATTGAAGCACAGTTTTGACTTTTCACGCCTAATTTAGAATTGAGTATATACTACTTTACACTGGTTCCAAATAATAATAAGCCAAGAAACATTTCAAGTCAGATTTTGATAAAAATCTCAATCCTACCATTATCATATCTTATCGTTATCATATCCTATCGTTATCGTATCCTATCATTAACATATCCTATCAGATCATAAAATGATATAATAATAAACCCGTGTATCCCGTACTACCGGAAGGGAGACTCAATCCACCGGCATTTGACTGATACTAGAAATAGTTTGTTTGATAATTCGCCGGTAGAAGGAGTTAATCCGGACTCATGGCTCAAATTTGGTCGTGATACCCGACGTTAGGCTTAAACTATGTCAGGCTGAAAAGCCTTGATCTAGATGGAATCATGATGGCGTACCCCAGCTAGATCAGGGAGCCCACGGGACTTCCCTAGCTTCTTGAATTGAATTGAATTGAATATTATGTTAAATCCTTTGGCTTATTACTTTAAAATATCTGATTTTTATTAATTTTACTTGCCTCACTTTTAAGGAGTAATTCAAAAAAAAAAATTTTACCTTTTCATTTTTCTCTACGTTTTTCAGATGAAAAGCTTTTTAAAATGCTGCTAAAACAGATTCAAACTCTAAGGTGAATTTAAATTGCTTGGTCGTTGGATAAATTCAACCATTGAAACAATTTCATCGCATTTTCTAAACATTATTTTTTCATTGTCTGAACAGTGAACAAGATTATTTTTAACATAATTGTAATTTCTTAACATTAAAGTTCTGTTTTTCAAAATATTATTGTTTAAATTTTAATCTTTTTGATTATACTTTCTGGACATTAAAACTGTTAATTATATTTTCTAAACATAAAAATTTATTTTCTAAACATTAAGAATTAATGTTCAAAACATTATGATTATATTACTGAAAATTAAATATATGGCTGCTTTCTGTTTAACGAAGAAACCCCGCTGCAGGCTTAATTTCTTTAAAAATAAAATTTAAAGCATCTTATATGTATTTTATGTTTTTATACAGTCGTCGTCGTATATATCAATACAATCCAGCTATCTTTTTAAATCTTAAAAACAGTAGAGACACGTACACATGTAAACAAGGAGAAGTTGTTTCATGTTTATTTGACTATTTCAATCTTAATTAATAATTTTATCATCATTTCAGATTTAATCTCTGTATCTTATCTTTATCTTTATCTTTGTTTTCATCTTTATCTTTATCTTTATCTTTATCTTTATCTTTATCTTTATCTTTATCTTTATCTTTATCTTTATCTTTATCTTTATCTATGCCTTTGACTTTGTCTTTGTCTTTTTCTTTATCTTTATTTTTATCTTTATCTTTATCTTTATCTTTATCTTTATCTTTATCTTTATCTTTATCTTTATCTTTATCTTTATCTTTATCTTTATCTTTATCTTTATCTTTATCTTTATCTTTATCTTTATCTTTATCTTTATCTTTATCTTTATCTTTATCTTTTCTTTGTCTTTTTCTTTATCTTTATTTTTATCTTTATCTTTATCTTTATCTTTATCTGTATCTTTATCTGTATCTGTATCTGTATCTGTATTTGTATCTGTGTCTTTGTCCTTGTCTTTGTCTTTGTCTTTGTCTTTGTATTTGTCTTTGTCTTTGTCTTTACTATATATTTACAAAACAGATATTGTATTTCAATATTGTTTATTTTTATTTTATTTTATGTTGTCTTCAAGGTTGTCTGGATATTTACGTCAGGCCCAATTCCGTCAGTTTTGTACTGCACGAACTGCGTCTACCACTTCAGCTTCAAGGAAAAAAGGTGTTATATTCGATCTCGGTGGGGTCGTCTTACCTTCACCTTTCAGAGCAGCTTTTGGTACGTTAATAACACCATTTTATTAAAATAAAGATAGAAATAAATCTGAATTTTTTTTTCAAAGAATGGGAAGCAAAGCATGGATTCAAGAAAGGGACATTTTTTGAAGGAATTAAGGTAATGAAAAAAAAAAATTAAAAATGTTTTAAGTTTCATTTCAATGATGTTGCAACGTACAAAGTTTTCAATGAAATAGCGGGTTCTCGGTCAAAATTCTTAACTAAGACATAACAACTTTGAGACATCTTTTTAAAAAAATCTTATGCGGCCAAGCCTTATTTGACATAAATAAGAAGTTTATTGAATAAATTCTTTTTGGCTGACCCTCCATATTACCCCACTGTGTGGAGGGGATGGATAGAGGAGTGGTTGATGGAGGAGTGTTGGATGGATGAGGGTTGGATGGATAAGGGTTGAATGAAGTAGGGTTGGATGAAGGAGGATTGAATGAAGTAGGGTTAGATGGGGGAGGGTAAAATGATTGAAGCAGGGTTTGATAAAGCAGGGTTGGATGGAGCAGGGTTTGATAGAGTAGGGTTTGATAGAGTAGGGTTGGATGAATGAGGGTTGGATGGATAAGCGTTGGATAAAGGAGGATTGAATGGAGCAGGGTTGGATGGATGAGGGTTGGACTGATGTGGATTGAGTATTAGATGAATAAGGATTAAATGGAGCAAGGTTGGATTGATGAGGGTTGTAAAGAGAAGGGTTGGATGGATGGAGCAGGGTGGTATGTAGGAGGGTTGGATGGATGAGGGTTGGATGGATGAGGGTTGGATGGATGAGGATTGGATGGACGAGGGTTTGCTGGATGAGGGTTGGGTGGAGGAGCATTGAACGGAGCAGGGTTGGATGGATGGAGGAGGGTTGAATGGAGCAGTGTAGGGCAGAGTTGGCTTGGATGGAACAGGGTTAGATTGGTGTGGGTTGGATGAAGGAGGGATGAATAAAACATGGTTGGATGGAATAGGGTTGGATGGAAGAGGGTTGGATGAAGGAGGGTTGGATGGATGAGGGTTGGATGTATGAGGGTTGGATAGATGAGGGTTGGATAGAAGAGGGTTGGATGAAGGAGGGTTAGATGGAGAAGGGTTAAATGGAGAAGGGTAAAATGGAGCAAGGTTGGATGAAAGAGGGTTGGATGGAACAGGGTGGGATGGAGCAGGGTGGGATGAAAGAGGGTTGGATGGATAAGGGTTAGATGGATGGAAAAGGGTGGATGAATTAGGGTTGGATGGAGGAGGGTTTAATGGAGCAGGGTTTGGATGGAGCAGGGTTGGATGGAAGAGGGTTTAATGGATAAGGATTGGAAGGAAGTTGGTTTGGATGAATGGAGGTCGTTTGGATGGATGGTGGAGGGTTAGATGGTGGAGGGTTACACGGAGATGGGTTGAATGGGGAGGGTTACATGGAGATGGGTTGGATGGGGAGGGTTGGGTGGAAAAGGGTATGAAGAGGGATGGATTGAAGAGAGATGGATGAAGCAGGGTAGACGGGGAAGGAATGGGAGGAAGGGTTGGATAGAGGTTCATATTTTAAAGGGGGTATGGTGGTGGGGGAAGGTAGACTCTTCAACTTCTTAAATCAGGGTAAACAGCTAGGTTGAATGAAATCTTGTATATTTAAAAGATTGAGGATTATCTTGAACAATTCAGAAATCAAGTTTTCAAATCATATTAAATATTTTTATTCTTTTCATCAACTCTCTTCAGGTTCACCATTTTAAGTTAACAATTGAAAAACATTTAGAAATCTTCATGTACATCGTACACACAATTCTAGAAACTTGAATTGCTTTATTTGCAAGTTTTTTAATCTTTACAAATTTCAAGGAATTTTTCCTTATCAATTTATTTTGAGCCCAATCGGTTAACCCGATTCTTCTGTTAAAGCAATGTAAAGTAGTTGAACTGAGTATGCAGTATTCTGGAGAAATTCTTTAGGGTTCATTTGAGACATATAAAACGTTTCTACGATTTATAATTACTGAGTTTGATCGCAAAGTCGACTTTCAAAATCATCTCGACGAAAAATAAAGTAAAAATTATACAGTTAACTAATTAGATGTTTAGGAACATATTTCTCAAAAGAAATTTCTCAATAAATCAATGTAAGAATGCATTATTTCTTTCATTGAATTGCTCATTTTCTATGAATTTGTTCGAAAATTTCTACAATTTCTTCAATAAAAATTCCAGAAAATCGGCAGAAAATCTTTGTGAATAATGAGAGATTTTAGAAACTAATAATTGAATAAGATTACTTATTTTCGATGATAAGCGTTGATTTTTATTTTCTCAACCTTTTCCTAAACAACTAATTAGTTTACTGTAGAATTTGTGTTACATTTTTTTTCGTCGTTATTTTATTCAAAAAAACGATTCTCGAATTTTATCGACACAAAAAGATGATTTTGAAAGTTGACTTTGCGATCAAACTCAGTACATTTACGTCGTAGTAAAGGTTTATATGTCTCAAATGAATCCCAAAGAATTTTTCAACAATATTGCATACTCAGTTCAACTACCATACATAGCCGGTCACTCCCTTAAAATATAATTTAGTCTTTCATGGAACTGTTTGTTTAGTAAAATACTCTTCTGTTCTTTTTTTCTAGCTAAATAAGGTGTTTTAACTGTCAATTTGACTTATTGCGTTGTTTTAAAGATTTCAACTACTTAGCCATTTGCATGTGAGGTGTCGCAGGTATTTTTAATCAGCAATTTGCAAAGATAATTGAAACAAATTCCAAATTCAGTTCATAGGAATTTCAAATAATTGAACATAATAATTTAATCATAATAATCTTAACATTTTTTATTTCCATGGACTAAAAAAAGGTAGATCACATATTGGAAAGCTCTGAAACGATATTTGTTACTTGTAATAACGAGATTAGATATTTAATGTTTTTAATGGGACGCCCTGTTTTCTACGTTTTACTCTAGGTTGTACTCTAGGTTGTACTCTATGTTGTACTCTAGGTTGTTCTCTAGGTTGTTCTTTAGGTTGTTCAATAGGTTGTTCTCTTTGGTTGTATTATAGGTTGTACTCTAGGTTGTACTCTAGGTTATACTTTAGGTGTCTCTAGGTTGCCCTCTAGGTTGTACTCTAGGTTGTACTCTAGGTGTACTCTAGGTTGTGCTCTAGGTTGTACTCTAGGTTGTACTTTAGGTGTACTCTAGGTGTACTCTAGGTTGTACTCTAGGTTGTACTCTAGTCTGTACTCAAGGTTGTACTCCAGGTTGTACTCTAGGTTGTACTCTAGGTTGTACTCTAGGTTGTACTCTAGGTTGTACTCTAGTTTGTACTCAAGTTTGTACTCTAGGTTGTACTCTAGGTTGTACTTTAGGTTGTAGGACGAAACATAGACGAAGGAGAGGTGGAATCCTTCATGGAGGCCCTTCAATCAGAATTAAGGAAGATTGTTATGTCACTTTTAATTTACGGCTTTTGCGTGTTTTCATGATTTGATTAACATTTTATTGACATTGGTATTTTAAATGTGTTTTAGAAAATTCTATAGATTTTATTTTCTAAAACGTCGTATAAAGAAATAGAAAATTTAAAAAATGTAATTTAGGTTTGTTATACTTTTTTTCTGCTGCGTGCAAAATATCTTTTATGTCCAGGACTCCTGGTTCTTTTTCAATCTGCATCTTGTCAATCATGTTTAAATCTTATTTTCGCTTATATTATTTGTTTTCATCTTTTATTTTGTTGTTTATAAGTTGACCTCGTTTGTTTGAAAAATGATTTTAAATGAAAATCTTGATTAGTACTCCAAATCCAACCGTAATGAAAGCTGTGGAGAAACTTAGGTAGGTAATTACGAAACTAATTGAATCCAAGAAAAATAGAAACTGATTGAATCCAGAGAAAAAAATAATTAAATTTAAGGAAAAATCACGAGAAAACCCATGAATTAACTCTATAAGTCAATTTTTATTGGCATCCCTTGAATTGATTTTGTTATAATTGGATTATTATACAACAGGATTTTTTTTTATGGAATATTCGAGAAAAGTCAAATTTGATTGTGCATAGCGAAAAAATAAGAATTTATCTTAATTAATAAAATTGGGGATTATTATGGATGTTATTCAGTTAGAAATAAGAGATAATTATTATTATTATATTTTTTATCAAAAGAATTGCATTCTTTGTAATCGAGATAACTATGATTTTGAGAAAAAAAGGTATTTTTTTTTAAAGGAATTATATTTTATTAGAGAGAAGGGATTGAAGACAGCGATCCTCACGAACAACTGGAGATCTGCAGTTTGGGATCAAGTACTGATCCAGGTCAGATTATTTTGGGAGATTTTGCAATTCATCTGCATAAATGTATTGCTTGGAGTAATATCATTTAATCAAGGTTTAAAAATGTCAAGCTTTTGCGAATTTACTAAATTATGCTCAAGCCTCAAATTCATTATATTTCATGAAAAATTATTTTCATGTTCGTTTAAGTTGTTTAAATTCACTCGCAGACTGGAATGTTGTACAGCCATGTAATTATAATTTGTAGTAACATTTTTCATGAATATTATGCTTTTGTTTAATATCATTTGATTGTTCAGGATCTACGATCTAAATTTGACGAAGTGGTCGAGTCTTGCGAGACAGGAATGCGCAAACCCGATGTTGAAATTTACCGCCATACTTTGGAGAAATTAAAAATGGCGGAAGGCGATGTCGTCTTTCTTGATGATATTGGTTCGAACATAGTTGGAGCAGAACAGCTTGGAATACAGTCCATTAAGGTGGGATAGCTGAAGTACTGTTTATACCTTTTATGTACACATATCTGATTTATTTATGAATTGTATGTTTTAGAAGTACATTTATTGAGTGTATAGAAGGAGAGGAAGAGGAGTATCTCTTCTCTGGGTCCAGAATCCAACGCAACTGATTTGTGGATTTTATAATCCTCTTTCGGGGATTTCATCCTCTACAGAAGTCCCCCCTAAGTCTCGAGCATAGAGAGAGTCGAGACTGATACATATCTCCTTGTAAGTGTTTACGGAAAAGGAGTAGATGGAGTTCCTGGGACGATAGATCATTATTCAGAAATAGCTGTTTTTGAATTTCTGATCTGCACCCTCGTCATGATCAACCTTGTGGAAGTCTGGCCAGTGGCCATTTGAAGAGATCAGTTGTAGTGAAGGCTAGGCGGGCATATGATTCAACCTATCTGGCTGGCGTCCAGAATATCTACGAGTAGGTTAAAGTAGTTAGTTGAGTTGATTGTTGGCTCCAGAAGTAGCTGTGTAGCTGATTAGCTGCAGGAGTTGCTGTATAGCTAATAAGGTCCTGGAGTAGCTGTGTAGCTTATTATCTTTTGGAGAAGCTGAATTTTAGCTTATTAACTCCAGGAGTAGTTGAGGTTTAGCTTATTAGCTCCAGAAGTAGCTGAGGTTTAGCTTATTAGCTCCAGGAGTAGCTGATGTTTTGTAGAATGAAGAAAGTTTTAGTTTGAAATTGTCATCCTTGTCCAATTCTTTGGCTGTTTCTGACCAGGAGGTTATGTTTTTTGCCATGGTTTGCTTGTTATCTGGGGTCACCACTTTAGAAGTACATTTATTGCTTCTTGATGTAAATACATGATAAATAACGAGTGTATAGAAGTAGAGGAAAATGAGTTGGTCTTCTCTGAATCCAGAATCCAACGCAACTGATTTGCGGATAATATAATCCTCTTTCATGGATTTCATCCTCTACAATGTAATAGTTTTAGCTTTGCCTTGTAATTAAAGGTAAACGATGTTGAGAACGCTATAATGGAGTTGCAGAATATTCTGGAACTTGACCTTGGTCTTCAGCCAGGAACCTCAAAAGGTCAAACTGTTTTCTATTGACTACATTTTTAGAATTTATTTTAAAACATTGAAAAATTTGAACAATATTTGTTTGTAGTGAGACAGGGTATGGAGCTAGATACTGAATCTTTAAAGAAATATCTTCTAACTCTAGGATACAGCAATGGTAAAATAATTATTTTTAACAGATAAATTTAAATTTAATCAATTTTATGATCTTAATTAGACTTGGAGATAAGACAGTTCAGTCATGGGCAGTCAAATCCTACCTATCTGTTAAATATTGGTGGGACCAAGCTAGTTCTACGGTACTGTTATAAACGTAAATTCAGTTAATAAGTTGAGTGATGTCTAATTATAATGGCCTTAAACCTTGCTTTTGTTGAATATTCCTCTCTTGAAAATGCATGGAACAAAAGTTATAAACCAGGACTATGGTCCATTTCCAACACTAAGTGTTAGAAATGTGCACAAATTGAAAAATCTTCGAGAGAAAAGGCAATAGTAAAAACTATGACCAACAATTTGTGAAGCATGACGAGGACTACAATTACTATTAAAACTTGGGACCGTTTTCAAGCCAGTTCCTTCATTTTCAAACATATCCTAAATTGCTCATTGTCAGAAAAGGGCCACATCTCAGTTTGGAACTAGTGTCCCATAAAATTTTAGATGTTCTTTGTCAGCTGTTTTTCTGACATCATCCATTTTTTCCTTGTTTTCGTATGACATAATTTTTGTTCATTTATTGTTACTAAAACGGGTAGCAACTATTATGAGGTTTGTTACAGAAAGAAGCCTCCTGGCAAGCTGCTGCCTGGAGCCCATGCAGTTGAACGAGAGTTTCAGGTAACCTTTGGGGATCAAATGCGAAATTAAATATTTGTAAGAACTCGTTATTATGTGTTCAGTATATATAATGAAATTAGATTGAGTTGTTAAAACTGTCATTACAAGTCATCCAAAAACGCTTGGTTAACCCTTTAAACTTATTAATGGCTTATTAGTCAAAATCCCGATTTTAAGTATTTCTTAATAAATATTTCTAAAAAGTTAAAAAAGTTTAAAAAAAAAAAGCTGTAAAGGAAAGGAGTTAATTGAATAGTATTTTTCATGAAGTAACCAAACTACGGGAGGAGTAGAAATTAAGATTTATTGTTATAAATTCATTCATATATATATATATGTATATAAATATCACACAAGTCACAACTACTAGCGTACTGTATGAGACTTTTTACCCATATATTTGATTTTAGGGTTAGATACCCCCAAGGAACTATATACAGGAACGCCCAACTCAGATTTACGCAAATTGTGTACTACGTACTCTGTGGGAGGAATGTAAACAAACACAGTGCCCCCACAGAAGTCGAAGGGAAAGGACTAAAGCTCCCATGTGATATTAAAGTCCAACGAAAACCAAGTTAGTATATCAAGTTAGAGTGAATAGTGAATACTTATGTCTTTCTGGTCAATATGGAAAATACAATAGCAATATATTTTTATTCCACACCTTGGGCCATTTTCCCTCAAAAATGATGTGTTTCCCCTGAATTCTTTGTTTTGATCTCCTCCCACTGCAGTACACATAATTGACGCATGAGATATGGCGGTTCCTGGTCTCTATATTTCTTGGATACCCCATACAATTCATTAATTAATAATAAAAGATTCTCATGTTGCAATGCATTTTTTATCATATTTTATATCATAAAATAACAATATTTGAATAATAAAGAACATTTCCCTGATCATAAACAGTTCACCTTTTGTTTTTGTCTGTACTGTTTGTATGTTGGTAAGACAGGATATGTGTCAGTATTGTATTGGTATGAAGGACTACCACTACAGTATCAACCGGAAACTAATTTCCGTCCTTTTTTGGTTTTTGATGGGACTTGGCCTTGACTTCTACGGAATGACAGTTGATCGCTTACTATTATTATTATTATTATTATTACTACAGTGTGCACTACCTGTAACAAACTAAATCTTTGTTTTGATCCACTTTCACTTGTCAGATTTTGATAAAATTTAGCTTTTTGGAAAGCCTTTGACATAAGGAAATATTGGGAAATTTAATAGTTTAATATTAGATGAGACTGTAATAGGGACTCCCTTCTATCTGATGGAATTTGTAGACGGAAAGATATATAAGGTTGGATATATATATATATATATATATATACTCGAGATAGAAATAAATAACTCTAGATTTTAATTCTCTGAATCTGATTTCTTAAATGCATTCTCTGCAGGGAGTAAAGAATAGAAGGGAGATATATCTGACACTGTTCGCCTTACCATATGATTATACATGCTTTGCAGACGGGTACTCCACTTGTATAAGAAATATTCAGAATAGGTTATTGTATACGCAGTAATTGTACACCAGAAAAATATTTCTTATACAAATGGAGTACCCGTCTGCAAAGCATGTATAATCATATGGTAGGGAGAACGGCGTCAGTTATATCTCCCTTCTATTCCTTACTCTTTGATTCTCTGTGACAGAGATGAATTTTCAAGACAGCACTTAAATCTTAAATTTTAATCAGTTTGTTCGTTATTTATTATATTTTTTCTTATTGGTTGCCCACCTTAAATTTGTTATTTGTCTTTCAAAAAATGACTTTATTCAATGAGAAATAAATTAAAAACAACTTCCTAGGCATTCCAAATGCGTTAAAGTAAAATGTAAAAATACAACCCTCTTTCATTTTATACCCTGCTTCTTCCATTTCAGTGGAATATGTAACAATTCATTTTCTTGATGTTTTTAAAGAGAAATTTCACAAAAATAGACGTGAAACTTTTTTTGTTCTCTTAAAGTCATTTATCATTCTCAACAGATTTTCTATAAGGTTGCTTTTATTACATTAGGCTAAGTAAGATTTTAAACCAAAACATTTTTCAAAACTATTTAAAAAAACATTTTGATAAATCATTTTGAAAAATCTCTTTGCTCATATATATTTGTCTGTATATATGTTAGCTATAGCTGGCCAAACGGCTGGACAGAATGAGCTGAAATTTGTTGAGGGAACCTATTGGTGCCTGGGAACTGGGGAGTAACAAAAGCTAAAAAAAATCCACATTTTAGTTTTTAAAAATAAATTTTTTTTTCAAATCTAAATTTTTTTTCTTCTAAATTCAAGAATAAAATTTTCCACGGGCAACGCTGGGCACTTCAGCTAGTTATTAATAAAATCTTAATTGTGATTTAAATGTTACATCTCACTTTCTTCTAACCCACTTTAGAAGAAAAAACACCATAAACAAAATTTAAAACAATGTCAATCCAAAGTTATGATCTTGATTTCCAATATTATGAATTAATATTCCAATATTTGAAGGATCCCAGTTTACCAGAACTGTCTACAGACCAGAGAAGGAAGGTGACCTGTGTTTCTTTCATACATATAAAGAATTAGTTTTATTATTTTATTCAGGGCTGCATTTTATTCTGCTTTTTGCTTCTCATTTTCTTTATGATTTTCCTTTACTTAACCCTTCTAAGGAAAATAGTTAATTTTGATTTAAGTTAATAGATGTGTTTTAAAATTATAAACTTACAAATGACAAAAACGAGGTTTTTTGAAGAACAAATTTCAACATTTATAAAAAAACTATATTATTATATTCTTCGTGTCTTTGGTCTTACTTTGAAATGGTTTCGAAAAATATTTGGCAGTACCTTGTCTGTTTGCATGTCTGTCTGTTTGTATCCAATAAACGTCAAATCTGCTGAACCGATCAGGCCCAATTTTTGTGTGGGACTTTACATGACCCCAAGAAAGGTTTATGAAAATTTAAAAAATATGCCTTCAACAAAATTCGATTTTTATTAAATGTTTAAAATCTACGATTTTTAAAAATAAAATCCGCAATTTTTGTTTTGTTTTTGTTTACAATGTATTCAAAGAGAAAATGTTTACAATTGAAATAGAAGATGGGCGCGAAGCGCAAAAATCCTAGTATATATATATATATATGTATGTATAAGCAATTTATTATTCAATTAAAAAAGATATTTACATGCATCTGATGGGCATTTCCAGTTACCCCCCCCCCTGGGTGACGTAGTATAGATGCAAAATAACCGTTTTCACCCTAGAGGGCATTTTTTTCGCCAAGCATTTTGTTTTTTAAATAAAAAATAAGGCTTGGGGATGACATGTACAGTGTACACTATAGGAGCTATCAGTGAACTCACAAATTAATGACTGTTAGGGCACGGTAAACGCGCATAATTCCTGTTGGCTGCTGCCTGAAATGTATTCCTGTGCAGGTGTACACAGCAATGATTGATGTGCTGGCCGCAATCCACAATGTTGATGTATTCAAGGACACTACTGTTCACTCATTAAATATTTATTCTATTTGAAATCTTAAAGTAATGTTCAAATATTTTGCTTTTGAAATTGTATTTTGGAAAACTACATTTCAAAACAAATTTTTAGCATAGATATTTTGCTAATAAACAGTGTTGTGATTTGAAATATTTGTATTATCAGCTTAATCTTTTCGTAAAATTAGCCTTCGGATAAAAAGCTTTTTGTTTGTTTTTGGTAATATAAATATTATTTAAACTTTATAAACTTGATTTCTCCAGAGTTAAAATCATTCAGTATTGCACCAATTTTGAAATTACCTCTTTGTACAATGAATCCCAGATACAGAGCGTCCCATATATTATATCATATTAGATTCTCTCCAATCCTTAACGCCAAAATACACATAATATTAAACCCCAATAACCCCCCTTATGGCCGCCACTGATTTTCTGCAAAAGAAATTTTTTATTAGCCTTATTAAATTACTCGAAATGAATCATTCTTCTTAAATTTTCTGATTTGTCCCCCAAATCGTAATTTAGACCCAATAACGCGGTCTAATTTGATATGGGACTGAATACATAGCAAGAGTTTTCTTTAATGTCGTATTACATATTTAAGATCAAATGCCGCGGCAAATAATTCTATTATTCTAATATTAATATAAATGAGTTTCATATAGTCCTGAAATATGAATGCAATTGATATATTAATATTAAACTCATTTTCCGCTGCATTTGATCTTAAATATGAAATATGACATTATAAAAAAAACTCTTGCTATGTATTAATTCATATTCACTTTGCTCTTGTTCAAATTTTAAAATATAATACAATTAAAATACAGTTAACAATTACAAAAACTTTTTGGTCGAAAGTATAGTCAATATACATTAGATACATTAGGGGAAAAAACCGGAATATGAAACAGTAAAGAATTAAAACTTGTTATGATAAACAGTAAACCAATTAGGCTGGTATTGAAGGATATGGGAAACATGAAGGTTACGTTGACCGTCAGATCAAAACATGGTCCAGGTATATATTAAGACAAGGACATTTTATGCAATATTTATAGTGTTTGTTAATCCAAATTTATAGTGTTTGATAATCCAAATCATAGTTTTCAAAAACTTTGCGTTAAGTCCATAAATCATAAACATTGGGTCGGGAAACTTCTTCTTACCTGTTAATTGCCGAAAGAATATTTTACTTTTGTTTTGAAAATGATAAAATGTATCTATGTATTGTATATTGTATACTGTATAGTGTACTGTATACTGTATACTGTATAGTGTACTGTATACTGTATACTATATAGTGTACTGTATACTGTATACTGTATTATATTGATTAATTAACTGTTACAAGTGGGAAATCAGAATCTAAGAAATACTGCAACTCTGTTGAAATAGTTTTGTATACTTTTTTTAAATAATAATTTTCTAAAATGATTTTTAAAAAAAATAATATATTTTTTTTAAATATGATATTTATTTGTAGACAATACGAGTTCAGCAAAACAGAGGATATTGAAGCTATGAATATACTAATGGAATGGCTGCCCAAGAATATCCCCTCTCAGGTGCCATTTTATATTTGTACTTCTTTATGTACAATGTACATTTTATAGCTATTGTACAATTTACTTTTTTATCAATCGTGCACATTGTACTGTACTGTCCTTAAAAGGAAAACAATTGTAATGACTTTTTGAGGGTTAAAGGAACTAGTTTTTTGTCACAAACTCAAACTTTTTAATCCCTATTTCTTTGAAACCTGATGGTGTAAACCTTTAATATTTTAAACCTAGGCATTTTGGTCCAACAGAATTATTCCAAGTTTGGAATATCAAAGATCTACGACATAAGGTTGCTTAGATATAAGGTTTATAATTTTGAGTTTGTGGCAAAAACTCATTTCCTTTTTTATTTTAAATTATATTCTTTTTAAAGAAATTAATATATCTCCAAATCCCACCTTTTAATATATTTAGTCAAATTTTTGTTGTGGGAAATTCGCATTTTTGGGGGGGAGAGAGGGGGGGGGGTCCAATGAACTCTTAAATATTTTTGAAATTAACTAATTTTATGCTTAAATCAAATAAAAATGTGGCCTAGACTCGGACACGTGTGGTTCATGGAGACTTCAGATTAGACAACATCATCTTCGACAAGGAATTTGATTGATTTAAGAACTAATTCATAATATTTCTAGCTTTCCATAAACATCAACCCACCTACTTAGAAGTTTTAAACCAGGATAAGAACATTGCCGTGGTTATACCGAGTTCCCCAATCAACATTTTAGGCCAATCGATAATGGGGTTCATAAGTTATGATCGGAATCCAAACAGACAGACACCCAAAAAGAGAGATTACTAATTTATATATATTCATAGATATGCATTTTACTACTTTCTTGTTTGACAATTACATATGACCATTACATACGTAATTTAGCTAAAAACTAACAAATTAAGCTAATAAGTAACAAATTAAGCTAATAAGTAACAAATTAAGTTATTAAGTAACAAATAAAGCTAACAACCAATAGATTGTGTAAAATAACTGTTAGCTAACAGCTTACTAAATTGTTTAAATTAAAGCTCACAACCATTAATTGGTTTATAATAAGTTTCATCCAGTTTGATGAAATATAATAACAAATAAACAACTAATAAACTGTCTTACATAGCTTTAAATCGCTGAATAGATTAAATTTAAGCTAACAATACAAGCATAGTTGGATAAAACTTAAAGTTACAAATTGTTTGAATTAAAGCTAACATCTAATTTAAGCGTGATACATATATATTAAATAATTATCTCTGTTTCTTTGTTTTTTTGCATGTCGAAGCATAACCCATGAGCCCCCGGACCAATTTGCCTCAAATTTTGTTTGGGGAACCACAAGAATGGTCTTAGCTTGGTTTAAAAGTTGAGTGGGTTGACTTGTATTAAGGGAACTCTAAGCGAAGCTGGGTTTCCGAGCTGTTTTTATATAAACTTGTATAGCTGTCACTTTTTAGATCAAACTGATTGTTCTTTCGTTTTTAAACACGCTCAAATGTTTTATAAACTTGTATTTTATTTTAAACATTTTTCTCTCCATCAATCACTTATATTCTGTACAGGATGATTGCAGGTAATTCATCTGTACACTAAAGGGAAAGTTTTCCAAATCAAGATGGGGCCGGGGGTGGGGTATTTTATATATAATTTCATTAATTTGAAAGAATGAGACTTTTCGGATAATTAGAAGGGATGTTTGGGAAAAGGATCAAAGAAATATTGTGAATTGCTCAGCAGTTCAGCACTACTATTATTGGTTCTTTAAAAAGGATTTGGTACAAGGCTACTAGCGCATTGTAAGTTTAGGGTAGCAGAATGTAACTTTTTCAGATCTTTGTAAATAATATTATAAATTATTTCAAAAAATGAGTATTTTAGTTGTTTTTCTCTGTTCAGTAAAGTTTTGGCTATACTGGACTGGGAGTTATCTACTTTAGGTAAAAACTGTTTAATGATTGTCGTCTTTGCTATTTCTTTTGTTTATTATATGCCGCTAAGGAGTGTGTTACTTTACAATTTTAATGACTGATATACAGGGTTACACACTAAGTATAAGACTGTAAAGAAGACTTTAAACTCTTAAAATATGACAATCCCAAAGTTTAATCATCAAGTGTTTGCCTTCAATATAGTTTTTTTATTTAATTATTTCCCAAAGAAAGATAAAAGTTTCAGTTTTTGGAAACAATAATAATTTTGAAATAGACTAAATAAATTCAGTACAGTCCTCATTGAATTCTCATCTTTTGCGGGTTACCCTGTATTTCGAGCGAAGAATGTTTAAAAATTTTTTTTTACAATTTTACAATTTTTATAGAAAACTATAAGCTGAAGGGCCCGGCTTGCCCGTGAAAAAAAAATTTGAAAAAAAATTTGGAAAAAATCGATGTTTTTTAGCCTTTAACACCCCCCGGCCATCCAAGTGTCCACAAACAATTTCAGCCCAATTTGTCCAGCCGAATAAATAAATATACGAATGTCTTGTTTTATTATAGAGATTAGTGAAATCAATGTAAAATATAAGGAAATGACAATTATTTTATTTTTTTTGGTTAGCACTGCATATGCTTTAATATTTTAGTTGCACATTATGCAGGAAAACATATAACTATCAAAAAGCTGCCAAAATTATATTTTTTATATTTTGCTGTAGCCTAGTATTTCATGCTTTTCAGTGTTTAATGTCACTTCACATTTTATAGTTAGTACTTGTAAATGTTGATTATTTAAGTCAGAACCTTTGTTTGTGAACCCGAGATTGATTGATCCCCATCTGTTGCCGACCTACGTATTAATTTAATTCCACTTCGATATCCTGTTAAATTGTCTTTTGTTGTTAATTGAAGAATAAAGCTTTGATCCTCAAATTTGTAAGTTCCCTTTTTGGATATTGAGATTGAGCCTTCAAGATAAAGGATACTCCATTCAAAAGTTTCAACCTTAATTCACAATTTTAGGAATAGATCATTGACTAATCAAAAAAGCGGTTGCAACAATTTAATTTAATAAGAAAGAAAGAATTTATTAAATATATGTAAAGTTAAATATCAATTCCAGCAAACTTTAATCTTAAAAGCCCAACCATCCGAACGGTTCTAATGTTTTTTAAAGGTATTTACGAATAGAAAAATATAAAATTTTTAGGGGATCCTATGACGGACATAGCTTACAGTTGCCTGCCGTTTTATTTCCCAGAAGACTCCGCGATGCTAAGGTTAGTTTTGCAAACCTTTTATTTGATATTACAGGGAGAAAGAGTGCCAGACGCAAGATATGATTTTGCTTTTGTAACGCCTTCAAATATACTGAAGATTGCTTAGTGTTTAAATGCTATCTTCATATTGGACAGTTTAATGGGTATCACTGAATACTCAAGTGCCTGGTGTTGCCTGTCCTGGAATCTCAAAATTGTGATATGCCACCTATCCCGTGTTTATACCCAGGGATGCTCATGTATTTTTTTTATCAAATATGATAACAGATGCAAATATTTTGACATTCCTACGGTGGTAGGCGATAATATCAATACAACGAAGACGACTTTCAGTTTCAATTTTAATTTATATCTAGCTTTTAAACAGCATAAATACACATATAAATGGAAACAAAGAGAATCTGTTAATTTAAATGGCTTCTCTTTAATTACATGTAAACTTGTAATTCGAAAAAAAGCTTGTTAACAATAAAACTTTTATAAAAAACTCGTCTTCATTATATTGATATTAACGCCTACCACCATATATTATTTGTTCTAACTTTTCTTCTTGTATGTACATCATTCATCATATATTTTGGCTTATTTAGAAAAAAAATATTTTTTTTGGGACATCTATGGCAGTTTCCATGCTGTTAACTATAAGAATTGAGTTGAGAGGATCCTGCTTTTCTTTATATCTTTGTATTGTTTACACATGTGTTAGATCTGACTCAGAAACACATAATTTAAACACACATTCTTGGTGTATTGAGACCCCCTCCTAGCCCCATCGCTAATGTTTTCTCCATTCGCCAACGAATATGTTTTTCCTGTTCAATTTTCTTTTTTCTTCTTGTTTCCTGTTTCCACGGATGCAAATATATCTATTTTTCTTTTTTTACAATTCTTTGAGTGATACAGATTTACCTGGTATAAGTTACATTCATACTATGCTTTATATTAAAAGATTTCAAGATTAAACACATAGATTAATAATAATACAGATAGAACTCTAGATGTCGGCTTTTCAAGATTTAGAGATTTTTCGTTCACAATAACTATGAGGCAGAAGTCCAAAGGAGTTACGCGCATGCTTTTTCTTTGTCTTGTCATTCAACGCGGCAAGCGCGTAACTACTTTGGGCTTTTGCCTCGGGGTTAGATGTCGTCTTTTCAAGATTTAGAGATTTTCGTTTACAATAACCCTGAGAAAGTCTTGTCATTCAACGCGGCATGCGCGTAACTCCTTTGGGGTTATTGTGAACGAAAAACCTATAAATTCTTGAACAGTCGACATCTAGTGCTCTATCTGTATTTTTATTAATCTTTGATTAAACGTGTTTTCAAGATTTTGATTCTTTTTTAACTTAAAGTAAACTCGTCTTCATCGAATATTTGTCTTATGAGCACTGTACGGGGAATATTTATCCTGACTACTCTGCAAATATTACTCGATAGCTTGGGAACCCAGCTTTGCCTTGAAATATAAAGCCAACCCTCTCAACTTAGAATTTTCAAACTCGGCTGAGAACATTACCGTGATTTTACAAAATTTCTCATTCAAAATTTGAGGCAAATCGGTCAAGTGGTTCCTGAGTTATGATCTGACCTACATAATTCATACTCTTAAACTCTACTATTTATTATATATAGAGGACTTAAAACTTAAGGTAGGGCCGGTTGTTCTCTGTTTTTATACAGGGTAACCCACAAAGGATGAGACTTCAGAGACGACTGCACGGAATTTGTTTAGCCCGTTTTCTAGCATTAAGGGTTCCTTGCAGGCAAAAACTGACTTATTTCTGTGCTTTATCAAAGCCATCAAAATACTTGTTAAATGTAGAAACCAAAAATTAGCTTTAAATCGTCATATTTTTAGAGTTGTGGGTCGTCTTTGAAGTCTCATCGTTTGTGGATAACCCTGTATTTGCACAAATAATCCTGAAATAATTGTTTTCAAGACTTATAAACTCTAGATTGGGACAGATCAGTGGTTTGAGGCTACTTTTAAAAAACGATAAATCTTTAAAATATCGGAATTTGGGGTTTTTGGAAACCGAAGTACTCAATTGTCGCGAAGTACTTCAAAAAAGATCTTTTTATTTTAGAATTGATTAAGTTATTTTTATGGTTTCTTGAGCTTGATCGGAATTTTTAACCTGAATCGGTGAAAACTATTATTTAGGGGATAAAAACCCATCTCTTTGTTAATGATAAGTTTCTTAGAAATGGAAAAAAATGGAACAGGTTAAACTTTGAATTTAAGGTTACATATTTTTAACCTTTTCTTGACTTTCGTTTTATACCATATGCATTGAACCCTTTATAACATGAAGAAAAATAAATCAAGTTTATTGACTTTAAGAAAATTATTGGAAACATAAGATAGAAAATTGCTACCGTTTGATTTATCTCTGCAGAAAAATATTTTTAGTTCTGTTTGAGATCGGTTTTACACTTTGCAAGTTTCTTGCAACCTCAAACCAGCACTGGTTTATTGAAGACGACATTTAATTTAAGCTGTTACGATTTATTCAGGACAAATTCAAATTGATCACTAAATACCTAAATGCAAAAATATAAAATATCGAAATATTTGTTCAAAAAAGTTTAAAAAGATGTGCATTGATTTGTTTATATTTATAAACGAGTATACCAATGAAGAAGAGAAATAAATATGAAAGTTATGAATCTAATGAATGTCGTCTTCGATATACCAGTGCCGATCTCTAGGGTTTGCAATGGTAATTAACCTAAAGGAACTGAACACTTGCTTCAGATTAGAATTGATCTGTAATAGAACTTTGACATGTCAAACTAAAAATTCTGTTATATCCGATTTCAAGAGTGATCACCATCAGGTTGCAATAAAATAGAATTTCCTTTCTATCTTTTTTATTGTTTGATTTGTACAATTGGGAAACAAGCATCCGAACATTTCATGATAATATTTATCAAATTAATATAACTGTTAGTTTGAACATGAAACTTATGTATATGGACATGTTAACGTAATATTATGTAACCCTCTAACTTAACCGGGGCATGTCTGACTTACAACGGTACCTATTAAACCTCTTTCGGAGTAACATTGAGGAAGTTAATGTTAACTTTTTGCAGTAAAGTTAAAAGGTGTTGAATTCTGACCATTTCCTCCAGCATCACTTTTTACTCTCTTACTTTTTACACAAACATGTATTCTAGTCTAGTAGACGTAAAGGTTTTTTGTCTAAGTATTTAAAACCCAGAAACGGTTCATTTTATTCTCGAGCTCACTCTGAACAAATTTACCCACAGTAAAAAAAACAAAAGTCAGTAATCATATTGTGTCTTTGAAATTAGGTCTTAAAATGCTAATTATAAGCATAAGCGATCTTGAAGAGGTCGCTAAATTTTCTTATTTATTGGGATACCCTGAGATGGGAACTTTTGAATGGGATATCCTTAATCCTGATCGGATAATTAATCTGGAGATTAAAAATGAGTGGAGAACAAGCAATATTTAATCTGCAGATTTAGAAAAAGAGTGGATTAAGCCTTAATCCCGATATCCACCATTCTAAAGTTTTCAGCTCTGTTTATACACAATGATCTCTATTGTTGTTTCCCCTCTATCTTTTCTCGATAATTGTAAACATTGCAGGGTTCTATAAACAAATATAAGACGTCATAACCAGTCCATTTTCATTTATTACTCCCTCATACTTATCCACTCGGAACTTTTTCCGATATCTTTCTTAACTCGGAACTTCGGAACACAGCATTAAAGGGACTGTACTTCTCTCTGAACTCTGAACTTCAGAACACAGAATTAAAGGGACTGTACTTCTCTCTGAACTCTGAACTTTGGAACACAGCATTAAAGGGACTGTACTCCTCTCTAAACATTGAAATCTGAACTCTGAACTTTGGAACACAGCATTAAAGGGACTGTACTCCTCTCTAAACACTGAAATCTGAACTCTGAACTTTGGAACTCAGCATTAAAGGGACTATTCTCCTCTCTGAACTCTGAACTCTGAAGTTCGGAACACAACCTTAAAGGGACTGTACTCCTCTCTGAACTCTGAACTTCAGAACACAGCATTAAAGGGACTGTACTTCTCTCTGAACTCTTAACTTCGGAACACAGCATTAAATGGGTCTGTACACCTCTCTGAACTCGGAACTTCAGAACACAGCATTAAAGGGACTGTACTCCTCTCTGAACTCGGAATTTCAGAACACAGCATTAAAGGGACTAAACGTAATTAAAAAGTGATCTTCCATTAATAAAATGGCATTTCCGATTCATTAGGGTACCCTTTAAAGCTGTGTTTGACCAAGAATGAATTTGTTCTCCAATATTTGTCTTGCAATAATTTGTTGAGTTTAAATTTCAATTATATTTTTTTAAAGGAGACTTATGATACAGAATAAAACAGAGTTCATTGTGATTACTCAACACTTTGTTGATGCTCTTGGTAAAACGACGATATCGACCACATTATTGAGCATATAAAGATTTTAAGGGTACCCTACCTTTTCAACCATGGCCCTATTTAATTTAGAGATACTTAAAATTACAATGTCTAACTCTTTAAGTTTTTTTTGTCTTTCAAAGGTAACCATTATTTATTGTGTAATATATTGTGAATATACAATTTCAAAATAAATACAGCTTCTCATGTTTTGTAGAGTTTCTTGAAAATTAAAAACCTGTGCTCGAACGTATGAAAATAGAAACGCGATCTAATATTTTACAGATATGTATTTGTTTTACTTATCCTTCGGTTTCGGTCAATACTCAATACCCTTAATCCATACGCAAAGAACTACTTTGCCCCTTCGTAGCTCTTCTAGCTTTACTTTCCCCCACATCCTGGACCCCCCCCCTCCCCCAGCCCCATCTTCTCGTTTATTTTAGATATGCATAGTTCGTCTTATGCATACAGTGTTCTGTTGGTGATGGGTCGGATGAATTTTAATTTCAAATTTCAAATTAAATTGTCAAAATATTCTGGGATTGAAGTTGATTTTACATTTATTTCCAGCCATCATTAAAAGTATGATTTGATTTGTGGGTAACCCTGTACATTCTAATTTATTTTGACTCTTTGCTTTGAATAAAATATGATTGTTTAAAGAGGTTTAGAGGGAGCTGATCTGAACCTCCTTGGAATACCAACTGAAGAGGAGTGTCTACAGGTATAGCTTAATGTGTTTAGATACTGCAGCAAAGATGGAGCAACAAATATTAATTTTTAAAAAAATTCTATTTCGATTGTATTTTTCACTGAAAAGGGATTTTTTGCCATTATCTAACAATGTGTTTAGAAAGTTTAATAAAACCTTTTTTAAACTTAAAAAAAGAAAAAACCCAGAAATTATATCGTATCGAATGTATTTAAAATCACGGGTAATAATGTTTTTTTTTCAAGCAAATATTTTTCCACCCATAGGGAGTGTTTCCTAGATAAGGCCCCCTTCCCCTTCATAAAAATAACTCTAGCGTATTGCACACCATCTTAACAAAGAAATCAAATTAGATTTTTTTTCCACTTGATCAAGGTAACACAGATGACTACTGGCATGCAGGAGAATATTTTGTTAACAAAAGTTGGAAAGTAAAGAAATATTTTCTGTAATGTTAATTTATTTCAGGTTTATCTGAAGAACACAATGTCTGAACAAGGAAAATGTTTACTTTTGTTTTCTGAAATTTTTGTATCTTAAAGGGACAAACCGGCTATATGAGTTAGTTAAATGCAGTGTTGTGGACAAATTCTTTAGAATTCATTTGAGGCATAACTTTTTTAAAGATCTGTAAATCCTGAGTTTGAGCGCAAAGTCGACGTTCAAAATCGTACTGTTCGGTGTATACGTTTTCAGAATTGTTTTTTTTATTATTAAATAACGGCGACAAAAATATAAACAAAATTCGACAGTAAACTAATTAGTTGTTTAGGAACAGGTTGAGAAAATAAAAATTAACTCTTATCATCGAAAATAAGTAATCTTTTTCAATTATTAGTTTCTATAATCTCTCTTTAATTAAAAAGATTTTCTGCAGATTTTCTGGAAATTTTATTAAAAAAACGACATTTGAAGAATTTGAAGAAATCTGCGAACAAATTCATAGAAAATAAGAAATTCAATATAATGATGAAAAAGGAAATAATTGATTCCAACATTGATTTATTTCTTTTAAGAAATATGTTCCTAAACATCTCATTAGTTTACTATAGAATTTTTACTATATTTTTCGTTGTCGTTATTTAATAATTTAAAAAAAACGATTCTGAAAACGTACCCACACAAGCTCATGATTTTGAACGTCGACTCAGTAATTATACATCGTTTTATATGTCTCAACTCAAATGAATTTGTCCACAACACTGCAAACTCAGTTTAACTCCCTTATATAGCCGGTCCGTCCCTTTAAATTCTTTTTTTAATATACAAGATTGCCCACAAAGGATGGGGCCTAAATGACGACCTCAAACTTAAAAATAACAATTACAAAGGGTGAATTTTGTTTACTGCACGTTGGCATTTTTTATGATATACTTGGTAATTAAGCATGGAAATTAATATATTTAATTCTCCGAATTTAATGATTTTGAGCCGCATCTCAAATCAGCCAAAAACCGGTTTCAATTGAGCGCCGGCTTAAGTCTTGAATCATTTAATACAATTTGCTGAACTAACCATATTTGAGCCGCGTCTTAAATTTAAGGAGCGGCTCAAATTCTTTAAATTCGGCCTCAGGAATTTAAAGATAAAAGAATGAATAAATTCTTGACAAGAATCTTTGTAGTTTCATGCTTTGTAGTTAACCCTATACTTCTCAGTATCATTTAGTATAGTCCCAGCTGAATGATTCCGCAAATTTTAAAGCTAAGCGCGAAAAATAAACTGTTTAATGTACATTGTACAACGGATTTTACATGAGCTGTATGATTATGAAAAAGAAATGTTTAAAATGTTGTCAATTTGTTTAAATGATTATTTTAACTTTTTGTACAGGACACACTTTCTACAACTGTTAAAGGTCAAAAGTAGTTTTGAAAATTATCAAACATATGCTGTCGTGGATTAGAACTCACTCAGTGCAAGACGTGGTTTGCAAGTTTTATCTATATATAAATTTGGCTTGTCTGTTTGTCTGTCTGTTTGTCTGTTTGTATCCAATAAACGTCAAAACGGCTGAACAGATCGGGCCCAAATTTTTTGTGGGACATCTAGGGACCCCAGGGAAGGTTTATGAATGATTGAAATTTTAAATATTTGTTTCCATCAAAATTCGATCGTCATTAAATTTTTAAAAATTTTGAAAATCCGCGAAATTTTTTGTGAAAATCCGCGAATTATTTTTGTTTTGTTTTACGATGTACACAAAGAGAACATGTTCACAATTAATTTAGGAGATGGGCGCGAAGCGCCCTCTAAGGCTAGAAAGAAGGGCGCGAAGCGCCTTGAATTTCTAGTATTTTAAATTTTATCATGAGTTCTTAACACTTCGAAAGAATGAGAGCAAGGAAATAAAAAGGAAGGATTTTATAATGCGATAAAGAACTTCATCTGAGGTTGAGACGGGTTGGAAGATTCCGAGATTTGGGTCCATTCTGCTTCCTTAGAAGTACGGGATTTATAGTCCTGTTCTAGTTTCCTTGGAAGTAGGGGATTTATAGTCCTGTTCTAGCTACTTTGGAAATAGGGGATTTATAGTCCTGTTTTATCTTCTCTGGAAGTACGGGATTTATAGTCCTGTTCTAGCTTCTTTGGAAGTACGTTATTTATAGTCCTGTTCTAGCTTCTTTGGAAGTAGGGGATTTATAGCCCTGTTCTAGCTTCTTTGGAAGTACAGGAAATGAGTCCTGAGGCCGAATTTAAAGAAGTTGAACCGCTCGCTAAACCGCTAATAACCGGTTCAAATCTCGAATCACTGATAATAATTTTTGACTGAAGCCAACCATGTTTGAACCACGTCTCATATTTGAATCACGTCTAGACGTGGTTCAAATTCTCTAAATTCGGCCACTGAAGTGAAAAACCCAATTTGAACGCAAAAACAATTTGAAAAATAATTAAAGAATGTATGCACAAAGTATAAGATGTAACAATTTCAGAAGTTGTTCAAATTATACAAAATGCTTCTTTAATAAGAAAATATTTATTAGTTTTCCAATTTTAACAATTGATATATATATTATAAGATGTTTTCAGTTTTTAGAAAAAAGCAACATTTGATTGACAGGACTTGATCCTTCCACCTGGAACTTCTATTTAAGTTTCGGTCTCTTCCGTATCTCTGCAATCCTTCAAGGGGTTTATAAACGCTCTCTACGGAACCAGGTTATAAAAGGGATTGTTCACTTAGTTAAAAATAGATTTTAAAAAACACAATTTTTGGAATGGGGCCCTCCAGCTGCTCCAATACAAAGATGGCAATGCATGATATGCCCTTGAAAGCGGTTTTTTTCAATTTTGGGTTCTCTACAAAACGGAAAGGGAAAACATTATCAGAATTAAACACTATTAGTTTCTTCTAGTTTTCTGAATGAAAAAGGTTGTTATATTGACAGTTTTGTATTGACAATTCTTTTAAAATATTTAGGATATTACTATATGGTTTATTTAAGAATTTGGAGCTCTTGGAAATTCAAGTTTAAAATTAATAACTTGGTAATGATTCAACAAAGTTGGTATTTAACCCTTGTGAACCTTCTGACACATGTTTATTACAATAAATAACAATGAAAAATGAGTTGAATAAAGGTTCCTAAACCTAAAGGGACTGTTCACATAATAACATCAGTGTTTTCAACTTAAAGGGACCGAACACGCAGTTTTAAGTGAACCTCTATTTACAGAGTGGCATATTCGATTCACAACCTTTGTTTGAGCAATAATTTAAAAAATTTTGAATAGATCTTGATTCTATATTTTTTCTAAAAAATGATGATTTACAATCTAATAATTATGTTTGTACATGTGCAATTGTATCGTACAGCGCCTGCAGCTGGTAATGGGCAAAAACTTGGTTTATTATCTGGAAATTTTAGGGTTTTTGATATTAAATATATTAAATATTAAATTTATTAAAGGGAGTGACCGGTTATGTCTCAAATCAATCCGAAAAGAGTTTTCCACAACACTGCATACTCAGTTCAACTACCTTACTTAGCCGGTCACTCCCTTTAAATATATTAAAGTTTGCACAAATTTTATCCTTTAAAATTTATTTGGAAAAACGATATTTTTTTGGCATATATCATCCCTCAGGGTCAAAATTTGGCATAGTGCTGAGGAAAGCAGATTTTAGACTATTCATTTTTTTTGGAACCCTTTACAAATACAATTAAATCTTGAAAAATTATAAAATTATAATATATTTTTCATCACTAGCTTCGGCCTAGAGACTTGGCTTACTTATTAATGTTTAGGCAAGTGGAGTCAACGCCACTGCAGCTGGGGACTTGGCAAAAAGATTTGCAAATCTGAGGAAAATGAAAATAAAATGTTTCTCTCAATTTTTTACGAATTGTTAATGTAAAGTTTTTTGTAACAAATGGTAAAAAAAAAACCATAAAACCTTTTTTAAAGGAAAATTGTTTTTATAGCTTCCAAATTATGGTTGTCTCAAAGTTTCAAAGTAAAACATTTTTCTTCTCTTAGTTTAAGCATTGCTGGACGGACTAGTAACCTTCAAACTAACAGACATTTTAGCTCACAGACAGCTACTTCTTCAAGAAGATGTTTTAGTAGTTCTGCTTCACAATGGTCATCAGCATCAGGATCAGTAGGTAATCTTCATCCTACCCATATATAAATAAAAATTAATTATATTATTTCTAATAAATAACAGTGCACAATGATGGCACAATATAATGATTTAATAAACAGAAATAATTTAAATCTTTTAAAACTAGTTTATTCAGCTCAGGTGTTTGTTCAGAGTATGAAAGATATGAATTCAATTCATTAGAAACAATTTAATTTAGTTAATCCATTATAAAAGTGTCAACCTCTGTAGTTCTCTGTAAAGGAATCTGAGACCTGGACTGTGCATCCCAAGATTGAGAAGCTCAAAGCTAAAGCTAAAGCTGAAGGACTTTGGAATCTGTTCCTTCCAGTCGAAGCAGATCCTACGATTAAGTATGTTTGTTTAAGTTTAGATTTAACACAGCGTAGAATAAGGCAATGTAGATAATGCTACAATCTATACATAAATTTGACTTGTCTGTTTGTTGGTTTGTTTGTCTGTTTGTTTGTAACCAATAAACGTCAAAACGGCTTAACCGATCGGGCCCAATTTTTTTGTGTGACATCACGTGACCACAGGGAAGGTGTATGAATGATAAAAAAATGTGTTTAAAAGGTTTTTAATTTTGTGAAAAATTTAAATTCTTGAAAATCCGCGAATTTTTTTTTTTAAACCCGCAAAAATTTTTTTCTTCTTTGTTTTAAAATGTGAACAAAAAGAACAGGTTCACAATCTAAATAGAAGATGGGCGCAAAGCGCCCTAAAAGCCTAGTATTTTTATATTTAGGATACTAGGCTTTTACTTCTTTTTCAACTTTTTACTGGGCTTTTTTTGTGAGCATCTTCTCTTTGTACAGTGTAAAATTTTTATTTTTTTATTTGGGGATTTCCTAATATTTTTTCAAGCATTTTCAAAAAATATTTTACGGTTACATATTTAAGGTCTGATTGCCCATAAACCTTCCCTGGGGCCATGTGAGGTCCCACACAAAATTTGGGCCTGATCGGTTTAGCCGTTTTGACATTTATTGGATACAAATAACAGACAAACAAACAAAGAGACAGACAGCCAAGCTAAATTTATATATTAAAGATAGGAATCGTGGTCATGTCACACCAATTTTTTTATTTGATTCAGCCGTTTCCTAGTTCATGATTTGGTTTGATTTGATTTATGATCCTTAAGGAGGAGAGTAAATACTACTTTTGGGTTTTGAGAGCTGAAAGAGCAACATTTTAAATTGAATTAGAATCTTGAAGTTTTTGTTCAAATCAATTGTTACTTTAAATTAAAAATTGCATAATCAAGGTTCCCACGACCTTTTTGCACAGGACAAATAAGTCTAAATCTTAATTTAATGGTCACTGAACACCATGGGAAAGGTTTGCGAAAAGTAGAAAGTGTTTTAGAGACAAATTAAATATACTTATTATTACATTTAATGTTTATGATTACATTTGAAAAAAAGTAATTAAGGGTGTGGGGGGGGGGGGGTTGTAAAGGATTAATTTCCATCCTTATCCCTTTTAAGTGTAAAGCTATACGCATTCTTGAGTTTATCATTTAATCCTGGATTTTCAAATTCTTGGAACCATTTTTCAATCTACAGTGTGGGAAGTGTTAAAGTTTCAGCTCCTTGTATATAAACCAGCAGTGAGCATTTAGAATTCAGTTCAACCCAAGCTTAACTATCAACAACAGAGATGGGGTTAATGGTTCGTATGTATTTTTAGTATTCATAAATTATTTGTTTATTTATGAAATAATACTAATGATAATATTGTTTTTGATATATTCCTTTTGCAGGTGGGAGTTTTTATCAGTATCCTTGCTGTGGCTTTATCAGAGCCTGGATATGGATACTATGGAGGATATTCTCCATATGGCTATGGATTTGGTTTTGGACATGGATATGGCTACAGTCACTTCTTGGGGAAGAGATCTGCTGATGCTGAACCAGATGCTGTAGCTGAACCTGATGCCGTAGCAGAACCAGGCTATGGTTATTATGGATATGGAGGTTATGGAAGGTTCTATGGAGGTTATGGATATGGACATGGACATGGATATGGATATGGACATGGACTTGGGCACTTCTTAGGTAAAAGGTCTGCTGATGCTGAAGCTGATCCTGGATTTGGATATGGTTATCCATACTTTGGCTATGGAGGTTTTGGATATGGAGGCTACAGATCATTTGGACATCATGGATATGGCCATGGTCACCATTTTGGAAAGAGATCTGCAAATGCTGAAGCCAGTCCTGGTTTTTTTGGTGGCTTTGGGTATCCTTACAGAAATTATGGCTATGGAGGCTATGGAAGTTATGGTGGATATGGCTATGGTCATCATCATCATTTTGGAAAACGATCTGCCGATGCTTCTCCAGCTGCTGAAGCAGCTCCTGAACCTTCCCCTGAAGCAGCACCAGCTGCAGAGCCAGTACCTGATGCAGATGCGGTTGCAGAAGCTACCCCTGAGGCTCATATTGGATACTTTGGCTCACCTTATGGTCATGGCTATTATTCCCCATACATTTTCAGTCCATATGTTTATGGTCACCACCTTGGTAAAAGATCTGCTGAGCCAATATTTGGTCTCTTTGGCTTTGGACATGGACATGGTCATGGATATGGTCATGGATATGGTCATCGCTATGGGCATTCATACAGGCCACATCATCATCATGGTCATGGACACCACCATCATGGGAGATGATCATCACATGAAGAAGTTTAAACCAGATAACCAAGAGTTCAGAAGAAAAGATTTGTGGACACTGCAAATATAGTTTCTTGATAAGTGCCCTAGTCATTAGATACTTACTGCATAAATTATTAATAAAGTAGTTTTGAAACCGGCATGTATTTTTAATTATTTCTTGAACGTTTTTCAAGGGTAAAATCTCCAGATATATGATTAGTATTCCAAATTAAAGAAGGTTTATTTAATCTATCCAGGGAGGATAACCCATGAATATAAAAAACATTCTTTATCAAACATAATGTGTTCTGAAATCCTTTATAGGGTTAAAGAATAGATAAAATAGAATTTTAAAGAAATAAATAAATTTCGGAGTTAAGTCATACAGTGATAGCCAGAACACTCTGCAATAAGAAGACAACTTTTAGAATCAAGTTATGACTTTAAAAAGTCCAATGAGCTTGAGACATTGGATTTGTGAAGTACCCGAATCACTAAATCAGTGATTTAATTAGTGTATAATGAAACCATTTGCTTTGTAACAACATCAACGTATTGTTATAATGTCGCCTTCCTATTCCATTGTTTTCTGGTTATCACTACAATGTTTGGTATTCCCAAAGGGATCATAATTGTTTTCTGGAGGAACAATTAATGGAGTTGATTGGAATAATAGATTTCTGCAGAAACGAAAACACAGAATTTGTAATATATTTTTACAGTTCAAATTATTTTTTAAAATGATTTCATCAAATTTGATGTAAATTTATTTAGATATGGTGCTGGTCTAACAAACCTTGAATATGCACATATTTGTGAAGTAATGGGTCTTTCTGCCTTTGCTCCTGAGATCTTTAACTGTAGTGCTCCTGACACTGGAAATATGGAGGTTTGAAAATTAAATTCATTTTATTTATCAATAACAGATTATTGATTAGGGGCCTTTAGGCCTTATAGGGACCTAAAGTGACCCCCATTTAAAGAGTGGCGTGTTTGATTTACAGCAGTACCATTAAAACATTTGACCAAAGATGACAAATGCATCCTCGTTACTATACAGAAATAATTGTAATACTTAATATCTTTACAAGCAGTTTTGCAATTAATGAATAATTGTAATTAGTATTCACTTTCTAAAAAATAGATGTTTTCATTTGAATTTTTGAAAACCGTAATGGACTTAAAATATTTGAGATATTCAAGAAATCAATGTAAACTCAGCTGCATTGAGTTCCACACTGGTTGTATACTCAAGTTTCTCAGTATTTGAGATATTCAAGAAATCAATGTAAACTCAGCTGCATTGAGTTCCACACTGGTTGTATACTCAAGTTTCTCAGTATTTGAGATATTCAAGAAATCAATGTAAACTCAGCTGCATTGAGTTCCACACTGGTTGTATACTCAAGTTTCTCAGTGATTTAAACTCCATGATGAAGATTGTACTGAGGTGCACTCAAAGACTTTTAACAGTATCACCCCTACTTTCGGGTTTTCTAGACAGTAACTTCTTAGTTTTTACATCAAAAACTAGAAATGCTCGAATAGGGGTCTAAGGGTTAAACTGTTTTAGAAAATTGAAAGTTCGCTTTGAATTTTGCTTTTATTTGATTAGAGCTTACTTTCCCTTTAATTTTTAGATCACAATAATGTTAAACTATTGGCTGATATCCTGCATATAAATATTTTTAAACAAGGCTATTAAAATGGTTTTATTTTAAACACAAGTATAAATATACATTTATATGTTTAGGTGCTTGTCAAGTATGGCAGTATTGAACATAAAGAAAGATGGTTAACCCCTTTGTTAGAAGGAAAAATCAGATCTTGTTTTGCTATGACAGAACCAAAAGTTGCTTCTTCAGACGCAACCAACATCCAAGCTTCAATAGGTTCTTAAATATAAAACTACAGCTTTATCTTTCAATGCAGTGTTACCCTTAAATGATGATACCTCAATGACGACTGTACGCATTTTGTTCAAATTGTTTTCTGGTATTTTTTTCGGTCTCTTCAGCTGTAGAAGTATTTCTTAAAGTGAAAAACCATTTAATATTGTCTAAAACAGACAAAATTTTCCGCTAGTTTTACATTAAAATTTGTTTATTTCTTCTCAAACGTCAAGCAGTTCTAACTTCATTGATGGCAAAAAATAAGAAAAACGAAGTTTATGTTGGGGTTTACAATCCTTGTAAACTGAATTTTTGAATTGTGTTTAGAGAGGGATGGGGATGAATATGTAATCAACGGACATAAATGGTGGACATCTGGAGCAATGGATCCAAGGTATATGGTTTTGTTTTAAAGGGAGTGTTCGTAAAAAATAAAAGGGGGTATAGGCTTACGGCGAAAAGTAAGCGCTTTTGATCGCTACTAATCTTACTTCTATCTGTTGCGTATATAAGGAGAAAAACGACTCATACCGAAGAAAGTAGCGTCCACACATTTTTAGAAAGTTGCAACATTGAACTCGGATCGTAAAAAAAATCAATTTAATTCCAAACAAATCATTCAGATATTACAACCAATAATCATCGATAATTTTTCGACGCATTGGTATATAGTTGATATTTCATACTATTTTTTATTTTTTATAATCTGTTACTTTTGAAAACATTTATTCCTGGTATGTGGTTTTTGATAATGAAGACGACATTTTCATGTTTTCCAGGAATGTTCGAAAATTCAGCACCAGCGAAATATTATTTTTAAAAAAAGTGTGTCTTGAATTCTTCTTCTATTGGGATAACAGCTTCAAGTTGACTTGAAATGAGTTTGGCCTTAAATATTAATAATATTTAAAATAATAATGATTTAGGACAGAACTATGCGTATTCATGGGTAAAACAGATTCCAGTGCTGCTCGGCATAAACAGCAGTCAATGATTTTACTACCGTTCAAGTCTCCAGGAGTTAAAGGTAAAGAAAAGGCCTCCTACAGCTTTTTAGTTTTTGTATTGTAACGTATATTTTGTTATCTGCGTTTTTTTCAGCCTCTGTACTGTTAACTATTTTTCATGCTTAGATTTTATTTTAGTGCTCCGGCCTCTCAGTGTGTATGGGACTAAAGACTCTCCTGGAGGTCATGCCGAGGTTAGATTATGGTTTATAGGTCGACTAGAAGAGTTAAGAAGTAAGATAGAATAATTGGAGAAATATTAGAAAAAATCTAGAATTTTTAAGAGGCAAAGATTTATGTTTGCATGTTTTTACAATTCTTGCAATCATTTTTAAGAGAGTGACTGGCCACTGCTAGTAGCTAGGTATGGTATAGTTAAACTTTGAGTGCAGAATTATAAAATGAAATATCAAGATTCATTTGATACCTATTAAAACTGATTAAATAAATGCTCATATTTTTCTCTGTATGAAATGCTGCACTCTCAGTTCAACTACCAAACCCAGTCAGTCACTCCCTTGTAAGGTTTTCTCTATATACTTACAAGCCAATGCGATCAACGTCTTTTACTAATCAAACCGCTCAAATTCTGTGTTATTCATGTCGAAAATGTAACATTTTTCATTGAAAAAGTTACATATTTCTTAGTAAAATAAGGCCGACTGTATCTAATCTGACAAACAAACACACATGTGCTGCTTAAAGGGACTGTAAGCGTAGTTTCAAGTGCTTAAAGGGACTGTGAGCGTAGTTTCAAGTGTTTAAAGGGACTGTAAGCGTAGTTTCAAGTGCTTAAAGGGATTGTAAGCGTAGTTTCAAGTGCTTAAAGCAACTGTAAGCGTAGTTTCAAGTGCTTAAAGGGACTGTAAGCGTAGTTTCAAGTGCTTAAAGGGACTGTGAGCGTAGTTTCAAGTGACCCTCCATGCAAAAATGACAATGCCCGGTTCACAATTCAGTTGAAACCTGAATCCGATCAACAATGTGAACGATATTGTATTTTATAAAATTATTAATAAATTTATTGGTTTTTAAGTAAATGATATTGATAATTCATAAATGTTTTCCTACAGTAGAAATGCGCAAGTTACTTTTGTGGAGAACCCAAAACTGAAAAGGATTAATTTTAAGAATTTGAATGTTGATTATTGATATCAAATTCATACTTGATCAGACAAAGCTTTAAAGGGTACCATTGTGAATCTTTGCATTACCATCTTTGCATAGAGAATTACGCTTACAGTTCCTCAATAACTGAATTATCTGGTTTATTATTTATTTAATATTCACAAGCTTTATTTTTGAACAAAATGTTTAAATAAATAAATATGTTAGAAACATGATGTTTAGGTATTATTTGAGAATGTGCGGGTACCTACAGACAATCTTCTTCTAGGGGAAGGAAGAGGCTTCGAAATTGCTCAGGTACAATTTAAAATAAAATAATACCGTTTTTTAAAACAACTTCATTTTTACGTCACGTAGAAAAAATAGATAGTGTAATACACCACAATAAGTCTATTTAAAACAAGAGTAGAGAAAGTGTGATATACCACAATAAGTATATTTAAAACAAGGGTAGAGAAAGTGTGATAACCCACAATAATTCTATTTAAAACAAGGCCAGGTAGAGAAAGTGTGATAAACCACGATAAGTATATTAAAAACAAGGGTAGAGAAAGTGTGATAAACCACAATAAGTATATTTAAAACAAGGGTAGTGTGATAACCCACAATAATTCTATTTAAAACAAGGCCGGGTAGAGAAAGGGTGATAAACCACAATAAGTATATTTAAAACAAGGGTAGAGAAAGTGTGATAACCCACAATAATTCTATTTAAAACAAGGCCGGGTAGAGAAAGTGTGATAAACCACAATAAGTATATTTAAAACAAGGGTAGAGAAAGGGTGATAAACCACAATAAGTATATTTAAAACAAGGGTAGAGAAAGTGTGATAACCCACAATAATTCTATTGAAAACAAGGGTAGAGAAAGTGTGGTAAACCACAATAAGTTTTTAAAACAAGGGTAGAGAAAGTGTGATACACCACAATAATTCTATTTAAAACAAGGCCGGGTAGAGAAAGGGTGATAAACCACAATAAGTATATTTAAAACAAGGGTAGAGAAAGTGTGATAAACCACAATAATTCTATTTAAAAAAAGGGTAGAGAAAGGGATAACCACAAAGAATAAGCCTAAAGACGACTTGAAACATGTTGATCAATAAGATCCCAATGCTATTTAAAGTATTCTGCCTTGAATGTGGTCTTTAATTAAATGATTTAATGATTTGGCAACAGAAGAAAGAAGGTTTTAGTTACAGGGAATCATGAAAGTAATGAAACAGACAATATTGATTCCGGACAGTCGTCCTTTGTGGGTAATACTGTATATTCCATATATTTGAATATCGTTATTATTCAGGGTAAATATATTCCATATACTTGAATACAGTTATTATTCAGGGTAAATATATTCCATATACTTGAATATCGTTATTATTCAGGGTAAATATATTCCATATATTTGAATATCGTTATTATTCAGGGTAAATATATTCCATATAATTGAATATCGTTATTATTCAGGGTAAATATATTCCATATACTTGAATATCGTTAATATTCAGGGTAAATATATTCCATATATTCAGGGCAGACTGGGACCTGGTAGAATTCATCATTGCATGCGTCTCATTGGTAAACTTTATTAAACCTTTTTATATTTTAATCATTTATTATTTAAAGCGACATTTATGTATTGTATGATTTTGCACACTGCACAGTGCTTTACCTTTTCCAATAGATAATGTATTATGTAACATGTTGTGCGTCTACAAAACTGACCGTGTTCAATAGAGTGCTACCTCACTGTCCGTTCTCATAATTGCTTTATCATTAATGCGTCTAATAAGTGTGTCCACTTGCATTGTTGATTAATGTTTCCAGATACTATATATTACTATTTTATTTATAACTAGCTGAAGGGCCCGGCGTTGCCCGTGGAAAAAAATCGATTTTTTAGCCTATAACACCTATGAGTGTCCACCAAAAAATCAGCCCATTCGGTCCAGCCGTTTGGCCAGCTTTACGCAACATATATGCATACGAATGTCTTGTTTTATTATGTAGATATAAAGTTCTCTCCTTTGTTTCCTTTTCCCCTCTACTATTAACCCTTCTAATTCACCTCATTTTGATTCCTCCTTTTTCCTATTTTTTTCTCAATCACTTGCTTTACATTATACATTACATCCATTATTTGTTAATATAAAAAAATGATGGAAAAAACTTTTGAGCCCAGCCACTTGAAACAACCAGAAATAGTTAGGCTTATAGCCCTGACTATGAACTATTTCTGTACAATGGATAACATTTAAAATACTAGGCTTTTAGGGCGCTTCGCGCCTATTTTCTATTTTAATTGTGAACATTTTCTCTTTGTATACACTGTAATAATGATAATAATAATAATAAGTTCGCGGATTTTATATATAAAAAAAATCCTGGATTTTCAATATTTTATGAACAATAAAATTTTGTTGGAGGCTAATTTTTGAAATTTTGAATATCGATAAACCTTCCCTGGGATCATGTGAGGTTCATTCAGGTGAATTTAACCGTTTGTACGTTTATTGGATACAAGCAAACAAACAGACAGAAAGGCAGACAAGCAAAGTATACATATAGATATGTAAATGATAAAACCAATTGTTAGCCAAAATGCATATTTATCTATATCTCTATTTTGTATTTGAAGGAATGGCTGAAAGATGTCAGGAATTGATGATTGAGAGAGTTAAGACAAGAGTTGCATTTGGTAGACCTTTAGTAGAGCAGGGAACCATTCAACAAGATATAGCTCTGAACAGGTATATACCTTTAGTAGAGCAGGGAACCATTCAACAAGATATAGCTCTGAACAGGTATATACCTCTAGTAGAGCAGGGAACCATTCAACAAGGCTTGAAGACAAAGCTCTGAGACAGGTTAATATATCTTGATTTAGATATAATATGATATAAATATCAATGGCTTTAACCATATAAACAACTTTTTCATTAAACCAATCATAAGCGAGAGGCGATACGTATGGTTGTACAGCCAATGAAGTAAAATTAGTATTAGCTGATTTTCATAGTGTTCGATGTGACGATCTACCCCTTTTTTAATAAGATAAAAAATCAAATTAAGGTTATGTATCGTTACGTTATCAATTAATGATATTTAAACTAATTTTTAGACTTGAGATAGAACAGGCTAGACTCCTAACATTAAAAGCTGCTCATATGATGGATACAGTGGGAAACAAGGTCAGATAGGTTTCAAGGAACTGGAGGACCTAATGTCAACTGTCCAGCTCCATTTAAAGAATGGCATTTTCGTTTCACAATGATACCCTTAACACTGGAAACTAGACAGAAGGAGAAGATCAACTTTATGCTACATTAGTGGAAAGACTACAGTAGCTCCTCTAGTTTTGATTTTACACATGAATGCTACTTTTAATTTATATTATTATATAGATATATAATAGCCATACAATTAAATTGCCACCCTCTGGCTAAAACTTGAATGTTTAATTCTGATTTGATTTGACTAGCTTTCAGCTTCTTATTGTAGACCAAGCTTTGAGCTATTTTTTGCTGCTTTACCAAACTGCTTCTTTAGGTTGCTGCTCCTGAGATAGCAATGATTAAGATAGTAGCTCCAAGAATGGTCCAAAAGGTTGCAGATAGAGCAATCCAGGTAATGTTTTTATTCGAGAAAAATATCAGCATTTTACAATTTCTGTTCAGTATTACCCCTACAACTTAGTATCCAGTGAAATTCGGGGGAAATTGTTTATTCTTTAAGCCCTCAGTAGCAAAGAAGGCCAGCTAAGCATTATATCTATTTATTATGGCAATTCAAAAACCACGCATAAATTAGACATCAGCAGCTTCCCAGCTAAATAATAAGTTAGGTTTGGATTGGCCTGGTTAGCAATCATGGTTCATTGATGTATGATGCCCGGGCTAGGCCACATATAACCACAGACTTAACACCAAAGTTGTATCCTCTGTTATTTCAGAAATAATAATTCTAATTTTAGTTTTTAATAATTTTTGTAATAAATTTTGTAATAGTAGACGCGGCCCCACGGCGCCCTGCTGTAATCCCTTTTTATGATGATAAATTTAATGAACAGGCCCATGGTGGAGCTGGATTACACTCTGATCTACCCCTTGCTACTTTCTTTGGCTGGGCCCGGGCTCTCAGGTAGATTTAATCGGATTAATTCATGCACTAGGTAGATTTATCGGTTTAATTCATGCCTTAGCTAAGTTTCTAAGATAAATTCGTGGATTAGGTAGATTTCATCGGAGAAATTGGAGAAACTCATGGATTAGGTAGATTTCATTGGATAAATTCATGGATTTGGTAGATTTCCTTGGATTTATACACCGATTTGGTAGATTTCATTGTATAAATTCATGGATTAGGTAAATTTCATTTGACTCATTCATGGATTAGGTAGATTTCATTGGATTTATTCATGGATTAGGTAGATTTCATTGTTTAAATTCGTGGATTAGGTAGATTTCATTAGATTAATTCATGGATTAGGTAGATTTCTTTGTATAAATTCATGGATTTGGTAGATTTCATTGGATTAATTCATGGATTTGGTGGATTTCATTGGATTTTTACATGGATTAGGTAGATTTCATTGTATAAATTCATGGAAAAGGTAGATTTCATTTGATAAATTCATGGAATAGGTAGATTTTATTGGATAAATTCATGGATTAGGTAGATTTCATTGGATTAATTCATGGATTTGGTAGGTTTCATTGGATAAATTCATGGAATAGGTAGATTTCATTGGATAAATTCATGGATTAGGTAGAACTAATTCATGGATTAGGTAGATTTCATTGGATTAATTCATGGATTTGGTAGATTTCATTGGATTAATTCATGGAATAGGTAGATTTCATTGGACTAATTCATGTATTAGGTAGATTTCATTGGATTAATTCATGGATTTGGTAGATTTCCTTGGATTTATACACGGATTAGGTAGATTTCATTGTATAAATTCATGGATTAGGTAAATTTCATTTGACTCATTCATGGATTAGGTAGATTTCATTGGATTTATTCATGGATTAGGTAGATTTCATTGTTTAAATTCGTGGATTAGGTAGATTTCATTAGATTAATTCATGGATTAGGTAGATTTCATTGTATAAATTCATGGATTAGGTAGATTTCATTGGATTAATTCATGGATTTGGTAGATTTCATTGGATTTATTCATTGATTTGGTAGATTTCATTGGATTAATTCATGGATTTGGTAGATTTTATGGGATTTATTCATGGATTAGGTAGATTCCATTGTATAAATTCATGGATTAGGTAGATTTCATTTGATAAATTAATGGAATAGGTAGATTTCATTGGAGTAATTCATGGATTTGGTAGATTTCATTGGATTTATACACGGATTAGGTAGATTTCATTGTATAAATTCATTGATTAGGTAGATTCCATACACCTTATGATTCAATTTGAAGTTCTTGTATAGAATATGTATTATTTAGGTTTGCTGACGGTCCAGACGAGGTTCATCTTAGATCCTTGGCCAGATTTGAACTTGGGAAACATAAATAAATTTTTTCCTTTAATGGGACTGTAAGCGTCCCTGATTCACATCGGTACCCTTTAAACCTTTGAATGATTAAGGATTGCACATTTTTCCTGATTTAACTACAGAAACCTTTGCAATTGTATAACACTTTGTTTGCAAGCTGTTTTATATTTGAGGGAATTAATATTTACTTTCCATATAAATATTAACATTCGATTTTGATAACATAGTTAGATATATTCTACATTTTCCTGGAATAAATGTAACGTCATACTTGTTAAGTACACTAAAATTTTTAGGCCTTTTACACAGCATTTAATATGTTTATACACAGAAATATTTTGCTCGATGATAAGTATTCATTCATTCATATTTATATTCAACTACAAAGCACGAGATAATACAAATAACAAATCACAATTTACTATGTAGTTTGGATCCACCTAACCAGAGTTGGTTGTTTTGATTGGTTGGCCCGTTATAAGCGAATAAGAATTGTAAATAAATAGATGGATGTACAAGCAACCCAGCGGTTGAAAGCAAAAAAGTTGCTGAAAAATCTTAAAACCAGCGGTTAAAAGAAAAAAGGTTGCTGAAAATTCTTGGAACCGGTTTTTAAAAGAAAACGTTTTTCATTAAAAACTGTTTTCTAGCGTGAATTAAAGCAATTAAAGAGGTTTAAAGAAAAAAGTTTCTGAAAAATCCTGAACCTAGCGGTTGAAAGCAAAAAAGTTGCCGACAAATTTTAAAACCAGTGGTGGAAAGAGAACGTCTTTCATGAAAAATTATTTTCCATGGTGGTTAAAAGGAACCCTGTGCAAGTAGTTAAAAGGAAAAAAGTTGCTGAAAAATCTTGAGCCCAGCGGTTGAAAGCAAAAAAGTGTGTTTAACTACTAAAAAAGTTTTAAAAAGTGAATAAAAATATGAATGAAAAAAGCAGGAATTTATTGATTGAACAAATTTTAAATTTGAGAAAAAAAGGCGCATTTCTTATTCTGAACTGCGTAGAGTCTAGACTAGATCTCAACCGCCGGTTCAACCGCTCCCGCTGAGTTTTTTTCTCCAAAGTATATATCATTCGTTTACTAATCGTTTTGCAAAATAGTTTTGGTTTATAACTTAAAACGAGAAACGAGTTTACTAATCGTTTTGCAAAATAGTTTTGGTTTATAACTTTGGTCAGGGGAAAAAATTCGCATAAAGTGTAATGTAATAAAAGCAAACTTGTCTAGCAAGCAATTTTGAAATAGAATATGAAGACGACATTAAAGCAATATTAAATTGCATTTGATGTCATAAAGCAAATAGCTTTACTAATTATTCATTAAATCACTTATTAAGTGAAATGGGTCTTTTTACACTGCACAAATGCTGTGTCTCAAGCTCATTGGCCTTTTTAAAGTCATATATAAAGTCAAAAGTCGACTTCCTATTCCAGAGTTTCTGGTTATCACTGTAGCATTACTTAAAAGTCTAAAAAAAACTTTAAATGTTTAAGAAAGGCGCTTAAAGACGTTTCATAGATAACAAAATAATTGATATGACATGGACAAAGTTGTGAAATATAAAATATGTCATAAATTTAGAAAATATGATCAGTTTGACTAACCAAGAAATCAACAATATAATATACTATTAGTTTAAAGCAAAAATATGAATAATGTGTGAAGCAAAAATCAGAGAAATCGTAGAAAGAACAGGGTATGCTTTATTGGATAAAATTACTTGGAAGACAAAATTTTATTTATTTATCAATGAAAAATATTCTCCCTCTGTGAAATGTCCTGTCTATGAAATGTCCTGTCAATGAAATGTCCTGTCTATGAAATGTCCTGTCAATGAAATGTCCTGTTTATGAAATGTCCTGTCTATGAAATGTCCTGTTTATGAAATGTCCTGTCTATGAAATGTCCTGTCAATGAAATGTCCTGTCTATGAAATGTCCTGTCTATGAAATGTCCTGTCTATGAAATGTCCTGTCTAAGAAATGTCCTGTCAATGAAATGTCCTGTCTATGAAATGTCTTCAATGAAATGACCCACCCTCAAAACGATTCCTATTCGTACCAACTATTAATATTTAATTAATCATATTTAAAATCAAGTTATGGTTTTGCATAGTTTTGATGGGTTTAATTTGTTTCTATTTGAACACAGATTTGGTTTTATTTTGTTTATATTAAAACATGGAAAATACATTACTGAACTTCACAGTTATGTGTTCAGTGAATATCAGATGGAAAATATAAAATATAGAATTTCAATATTTCATATATTCATTTTATATATGTATACATTACATATTTACTTCACATTAATAAATAATAAAAAAATAATGCTGCTCTCACCATGCATCTAGTATCATTAACTGTTTATATTTCTTTGTCGTTGTTCCTTTTTAATGAAAATACCTTTACATTACTAATTGCAAGGAAATTCATGATATGAAATAAAAGCATCGAAGGATGAAAGATCCAACGAAAATAGAAATAAAAGAATGACCTAAAAACTTGAGCTTACAGATAGAAAGTAGGAGAACTGGAGTTTACAGATAGAAACTATAGGAGAACTGGAGTTTACAGAAAGAAAGTAGGAGAACTGGAATTTACAGATAGAAAGTAGGAGAACTTGAGTTTACAGATAGAAACTATAGGAGAACTGGAGTTTACAGATAGAAAGTAGGAGAACTGGAGTTTACAGATAGAAACTATAGGAGAACTGGAGTTTACAGATAGAAAGTAGGAGAACTGGGGTTTACACATTGAAACTAGGAGAACTTGAGTTTACAGATAGAAAGTAGGAGAACTGGAGTTTACAGATAGAAAGTAGGAGAACTGGAGTTTACAGATAGAAAGTAGGCTCCTATAGCGGAAAATCCCCCCCCCCCACTGTTACCCCTCTATACCTCTTTTTATTTAAAAAAATAATGTTAATTTTTTATTATGAGTGCAAAAAGTAATAGGCAAAATTTTTTTTATAACTTTTAAAGCTTTTGGTAGTTTAAGAAAATTCAAAATTACATCATTTTTAACTCTCGAAGCAGATACATGTAAAAACTAACACAAATGATAGTTTTTGGTTAGGTTTTCCTATTATTGTTTTTTTTTTCTGGGAAAATGTTGAATTTCAAAAACGAAGCTTTTCCTAAATATAATTTAGAAATATTGGAACCTTGTATTCATGGAACAAAATTATGTGGGGCCTTCTTTAAAGGCTAAAAACCTTCCAAGTCCTAGAAAAACGAATCTTGCCCATCGCCATGATCTCCGTTTGAGGTCTGTTTTAAGGATATTTCGACGTTTAAAGTGCTAATTAAAAAAATATGAGATATTTGTCACATTGCAAAATTGTGTTCTCAATAAGTTCACTTTTTTAATTATGCGAATTTTTTATCTGAACAAAGACACACTTCTATGCGAGTCCATTAGCGCCTGATCCAATCAGGGTTTAGTCATGTGTTAGTTGTCTATTCTGAACTAGAAATTGCATGGCAATATCATTATCTTCCTATCTATCTCATCATTCAATTAGAGATAAATCCTTATATCGGGGCTAAAAACAGTAATTGAAAATATTTACTTTTACTGAACCCACAGTTCAGGAGATATCAAATCAATACAACTTTTCAAAACAAAAAACGAGAAACGAGTTTACTAAGAATGATATATACTTTGGAGAAAAAAACTCAGCGGGAGCGGTTGAACCAGCGGTTGAGAATAGGAGAACTGGAGTTTACAGATAGAAAGTAGGAGAACTGGAGTTTTCAGATAGAAAGTAGGAGAAGTTTACACATAGAAACTAGGAGAACTGGAGTTAACAGATAGAAAGTAGGAGAACTGGAGTTTACACATAGGAACTTATAGGAGAACTTGAGATTACAAATAGAAAGTAGGAGAACTGGAGTTTACAAATAGAAAGTAGGAGAACCGCAGTTCACCGATGTAGGAGAAATGGAGTTTACAGATAAAAAATAGGAGAACTGGAGTTTACAGATAGAAAATAGGATAACTGGAGTTTACAGATAGAAAGTAGGAGAACTGGAGTTTACAGATAGAAAGTAGGAGAACTGTAATTTAAAGATATAGAAACTTGAAGAACTGGGGTTTACAGATAGAAAGTAGGAGAACTGGAGTTTACAGATAGAAAGTAGGAGAACTGGAATCTAAAGGTATAGAAACTTGAAGAACTGGAGTTTAGAGATAGAAAGTAGGAGAACTGGAGTTTGTAGATAGAAAGTAGGAAAACTCCAGTATTGATCATCCTTTAAGGTTTCCAGATTTCAACGACGACTTTCTGCAGACAGAATAATAAATATTTCCTGATTGCGGCATTTTTTATATTTGCGCTCAATGGCGTCAACTGACTCGAAAACATTTCATCAGTAATTAAATTTTACATTGTATTTAATCCAAATCAGCTCTGATCATATCTGAATAAAAATTTATTTAATTTGCAGAGTTTAGAGTAAACTAGATCTGGCAGAATGACGGAGATGTGCGAAAGCTTGACTCTGTCACGGGATATAAAACGCGCATGCGAACTTCTGGAGAAATTGCAAAAAAGTAAATACTGCGGAGAGGTAAATTTTGCAAACTAACTTTAAATAAATCAAATTTAAAATTTATCATAAAGGAACTATACAATTTTTTTTGTTTTGTTTTCCTAGACCCTACAGTAAAATGGAAAGTTTTATTGGCATTGTCAGATTGTGCTCACTGCACTCGGCTGTTTATTAAATTCAGTATTTAAAAAAGCAGTACAATGTTAGGAAATTTAAGAAACATTTTGATTTGGATCCGCATCTGGATTTGGTGTCACTTTTTGAACAGAATTGATTTAGATGCCCATCAAATTCTGGTTTATGAACGAGCTCTTGTCTTTTTCTATAAAGATGCTTACTTATCTAATATCTAATATCTTTAGCTAATATTAGAACGCATATAATATTCGGATCCGTCCTAGAGAACGAATTTTGGACCACCCTCCCCCCCTCCTATCAATTTTGTACATATACTTTTTTATTATTGAGGGTTAGGTTAGGTTAAGACAATTTCTGGGCCGAACGCTGCGGCTAGGATGGGCTATGGGGCCGAGCTCTGCGGCCACATGATCAATTTTACAAAATGTATAAAATTGATAGGAGGATGGGGGGGGGG